TGCATTCATTTATTACTAAATGAATGCATTATTTAGCACCCACACATCACGTCTTGTCACATGACACATGGTGAGCTATGTTGGCACGTTGTCAACCAATTACAACTTATCTTCAACGAAATTATTTATTTCTTTGGTAAGGTTTTTGTCAACTGAAGGTTTTTGAAAGTTTGCAAAATAATTAAAATGGCACTTTAGGATTTGTCTGGGAAAATTAATTTAGGGGAAGCTAATTGCACTAAACGCTTTTAAAGTTAGCAAAATATTAGCGGATTAGCGAAGGTGTTTGTGATATGCCTCAGCTCGTATGAGTCTAAGTCATCTGTACTAGATGATATTAGTTTAAAAAAAATAATGGGTTATATAAAAAGAAATATTTGTATTGTCATATGACAAGTAAATATTTTTTGTAATCAAGGATTTTCCATTAAGTAGAAAAGCAACTCACCTGTGTGAATTCTCATGTGTTTCCTCTTGGAGCCATCTTGAGGAAAAAACCCATCATGCATTTCTTCAGAGAACAGATTTTTCCAGCATTTCCCATTTGGTTCCAGATCTTCGTCTTGCCTTAATTGTGAGTCATTTTCTTCCTGAACCTGGTTCTCAGCTTCAGGAGCATCCAGGGGGTCCACTTGGTGTCCGTCTGGTTCAAGGTGGTATTTTTCTTCGTGTACAGGAGAAACCTCAAAGGTATAAGTCTTCCACTTCAGTAAAAGATGATCTTCATCCTGACTGACACAGTGTTCCTCCTCTTCCTCTTTTATTTGGGAAGCTTCAAACTCCTGCTGCTCTTCTTTAAGTAGTGGGGAATTTCGTTCTTCCTGATGCCCCCTTATCTGTTGATTTTCTGCCCCATCTTGCTCTTCTTTAACCTGCAGAGGTTCTGCTTTCTTCTGGTGCAAATTGCAGTTCCTTTCTTGCTTGCTGTGCTGCTCCATTTCAACATACTATAGTTGTAGAAAGGAAAACAGAAAAAAATAAAAATAGTAGGTCAAATAACCATACTTTCCTTACTCTTTGCTTACACAAATGCATTATTTAGCACCTCAACATTAAACAATATACATAAAAATACAGTGGATCAACAAGTACACAGATATAGCTGCAATCTAAATTTTTCGTAGTACCGTATTTTCTAGACTATAAAGCGCACCTCACTATAAGCCGCAGCCATAAAGTAAAAAAAAAAGAAAGAAAAAAGGAAAAGTACATATATAAGACAAATCAATCAAACAGCTGCAGCTGATCCAAACGCTGCTGCTCGCTTTCTCACTAAAACCAGGAAGGTAGAGCACATCACCCCAGTCCCTACACTGGCTCCCTGTAGCTCAGAGAATAGTCTTTGAAATACTGTTGTTTATAAATCACTGAACGGTTCAGCACCACAATACATCTGCTGTTGTTGTATCAACCTTCTCAGGCCTTCTGGTTCTCCTCTTCATCCCAAGAACCAAACATAGAGAAGCAGCATCCAGCTTCTCTGCACCACAAATCTGGAACAAACTTCCAGAAAACTGCAAAACAGCTAAAACACTGACTTCCTTTAAAACTAAAATCCCACCTGTTTACAGTTGTATTTGAAACGTAATTGATTATAAGTTGAATGATGACACTCGATTTCATGTAATGTTTTGATTGTTGATTCTATGTTACATGACTTTGTGTTTGTTATGATGCAAAGCACATCAAAATGCCTTGTTGCTAAAATGTGAGATACAAATAAAATTTGACTGATTGATAAGCTGCACCGGGCTACAAGCCGCTGATATCTCCCCAACAAAACAGTAGAGGGGGACAGACAACCCAAAGTTTGATTCATAACAGGTCAATATATTATTAGTCAAACATATTCATAACATTTTTGGCATCACATTAATTTGTAAACAAATTTATTAAGGTTGAAAAAAAAGAAAAAACTGCCAAGTTTAGCTTTAAATGAACTGATTAAGGTAATTTCCAAACAGTGCCTGTAACATAGTAAAACAAAACAGAAAAGTTATTGATTGGTTTATTCATCTTCCTCCTGAGCACTGAAACCACCGAAGTCATCTTCTTTAGTGTCGGAGTTGAACAGCTTCATCACATACCTTTTCTTTCTCTATGTCAGTGTTACTCTCCGTGTCGCTGTCATCCCGGGGCACAGCTGGCTCTGAAGCTGTAGTTCCCTCTTCACGCAGCAGTCCAGCCTTTCGAAACCCCCTGATGATGGTGGATTCATTCACTCTGCTCCACGCTGTTAGGATCCACTGACAGACCTCAGAAAATGACGCTCTTCGCATTCGGCCAGTTTTTGTGGAGGATTTATTCCCGCTACTCACCCAAGCCTCCCATTCACTCCTGAGTGCTGCTTTAAATGCTCGATTCACACTGATGTCAAGGGGTTGCAAATACTTTGCTGTACCTCCAGGAATAACGGCGGGAATTGAGCTGGTTTTCTTGATGACTTCTTTCACTGAATCAGTGATGTAGGCCTTCATACTATCCAAAACAAGCAGCGCTTTTTGCCGCTGATAAAATCCTCCCGGGCGCTTTCCGTAGCACTCCGTTAACCAGTTCTTCATCAGATTTTCTGTCATCCGTCCTTTCAGGTTCACTTTGACTAAAATGTCCTTCGGGAGTTGGTCTTTTGGCATAGTTTTGCGTTTAAAAATCACCATCGGGGGGAGCTTTTTTCCAGAAGCGGTGCAGCCCAGGACACAAGTGAAATGTGTCCTCTCGTGTCCATTGGTTTTCTCCATTGAACCTGTCTTGTTTACAGTCTTGGTCAGAGACATATCAAATGTCAATGAGACTTCATCCATATTTAGAATATTGTCTGTTCCAATGGTGTTCTCCGTGATCTGTGTTTCAACAAATTGTCGGAAATTTGTAACTTTTTCCTGGTAGTCCGGGGGGATTCGCTGACAGACAGTTGTCTGTGTCCTGATGAACAGGTTCTTTCTTCTCATAAACCTCAAACACCAAGACGGTCCTCCAATAAAATCATCAATATTCATTTGGCGGGCAATTGATAGGGCATTCTGCCGGATTTGCATTGTGGATACGCCTCGGCCGCCTGCTCTCTGAGTGTTTACCCACTCCTCAAGAACATCTTCAAGTTCAGGCCACCTGCTTTCATGTCCTCTGAAAGCCTTTCTTGTCTTTTGGCATTCCTTGAGTTCTACCTGCTGCCGTTTCCAACGCCGAATCATGGATTCGTTCACGCCGAGCTTAAGTGCAGCAGCTCTATTTCCCTCCAGTGCTGCCAGGTCGATAGCCTTCAACTTAAAAGCGGCATCATATGAAGTTCTTCGTGCGGTTTCCATGATGAGGTATGAGTTTGAAAGAAAACCTGCTGCTACCATGTGTTTGTGCAAAGTTTAAACCGGAAGTTTCTTCTTTGATTTCCAACTTTGACGTCCTATGAGTCACTTCTTGCTAAAGCGCCCCCTGGCGGTTAAAGAAAACACAGAAAAGCCGCACCTTCGCATAAGCCGCATGGTTCAACGCAAGTCAAACAGGTTTTATAGTACTGGTTACTTACAACTTTATATTATTTCACATTTAGCCTTTCATTTTTGTTAATACTCCGTATGAAACAAGTCTAACTGTTCCAATATAGATGAATGGTGGCTAATGCTAGCAACACAATCCCGATAACATATTTCTCTCCATTTTCTGGAAACAAAACACTTAGGGGAACTTGTTAAAAACTAGATGTTAAATTAGCATGTGTGTAATCGGATAAATGCGAAATAAGCCATCAAAAACTGTAATAAACAGCATACTAACAAACTAACACCGCATTCTGCAGACGGGCAGCCATATTGGATACCAAACACATTGCTCGGCCAACGGAGACTTTGCTATTCGCAATAAGAACTTCAAGGGGTGTTATTGTTTTATTTCCCAGTCAGAATAAGCACAAAATTATTTAATCCATCTACTGATAGCCTCGGATACAAGAAAACTCGTGTATACATAATCTAAGACGGAATAGTGGTGACAATACAAACATCGGAACTGCATTCAACAACTTCTCCTAATTGTTCTCAACACCGGTGTTTCAAATCTGTTCGGTAGGTTAGCGCGTCCGTCGTGCTCTTCCTCGGACTCGACGATGATTTCTTAACATAGTGTGGATTTTAACTATTGCTTAATGAAATCTATCTGAAGATTAACCGAAGACACTCAACACTCACCTACTCCTTCCTCAAAGTAACACACAAAAAAATAAAACAAAGTACGACGCTGGCGCGTTGTTCCTCCCGAAGCGTCTCGCTGCAGATCATGGAGAGAAATTTCACCCGGAAACAAAATCTTCCGCTCGGGTTCAACTCAACCGTTTGCAAGGCCCATTACTGACCCCTACTGGATTGGATGGTGAACAGCGAGGAGGCGGAAACAAATATATTACCCTTTACTAAATAAAAGTCATCCCTTATATTTTTAAAAATACATTCTTAATTATGCATTTATATGTATATATTTATTTTAGGTGTGTACCTGAGGTGATTCCAAACTCTTTTATTGACTTTATACTGCTTAAAGAGATACAGTGATTTAAAGAGAGTTTTTACAATATTTGAATGTTCAGATTGAATATTCAGCCATCTAGAGTCCAGAAACAGCAGTTTGTCATAAGAGATGACTTCTACCAACAACATAATGAAACATAATCCCTTAAATTAGATTTTATCTCTTTTTTTATTTTCATTTTGCCTACTGGCAAAAACACTGGGCAGCAGAGACATCCATTATGGGAGTCTGTAATATCCTCAATGATCAGTTGCTGTACTAACCAATAAACATTTTTCTATTGATGATTGTTAAGTGTATGAATAACTCTGAACATAGCACATCTTTTTTTTTCGTCAATAAAAAAAAAAACTTTTTTCCTCTTTACACCTTCTCGTGTTTTGGAAAAAGCACGCATTATTCCTGGCTTCCAGAAATAATGTTGCTGTTTACATTTATTCAAATAAAAATGAAAAACAAATTCACAAAAATAAGGAATATAAACCATTTGAAAACTCAATTTTATTTAATTGCATGTTGATTCATTCACTTTAACCGTGCATGTTTTCATATACAATTTTTTAAAAAATGAACAAATGAAGCATTAGTAAACCATACCAATAACATTTTTATGCATTGTACGCAATTTAAAACATTAAACATATTGTTTAAATCCTGATTAGCATATATGAACATACAGAATTAGCTTACAGTAAGTTGGCTCTGTGAGTAATTACTTCAAAAGAAATGGTCAGACTTTTAGATTGATGTCAACATTAATTTAAATCAGCAGTGTCTGAATGTGTGCATGATTGAGTGAATGTAGTGTAAAACGTTTCAGGGTCCTCAGGACTAAATAAAGTGCTGCACAAATACAGACATTATAATATCTTGGTTAATTTCACTTCTCAAAAATTTTTAGTAAAGCAGAAAAAAAGTATTTATGTCTCCAAGCTAAATTTTGGCCTTATTCCATCACAAAAAGAAGAAAATCTACATGGAAAAACAACTGCAGCAGGAATGAAAGAAATTTAAAACAATGGTTAAATTACAAATTAAAGACAAGAAAGAGCCAGAATCATTTCTAAACTTTTGCAGAGCATCACTCCGAATTCACTGAAAATTAGTCGATGCATAGCTTTATTAAAGTTCAAAGGTTACATTATTAGAATGGGAGCTGCAGATTTTAGTGATTTTTCCTTTATTTTCATTCATTTTTCAAACTTTGAAAAATGACACCAGGAAGGAGTTTCTTAAAGTATCAGACATTTCAAGCTTAGTTTCCTGACATTTTTAAGGTCGTGTGCCAGATCTTGCTCATTTGATTTATGAATGATAAAAAGGCGATCTGAGAGGAAGTCATCTCTGACAGGAGTGTTTTGTGAGAAAGGTTTGTTTGAAATATTTTCCACAGTTTCCACAGTTTGTTTCTACTATTCTACTGTTTCTACTTTCGACTATTTAAATAATGTAGTTAATTTACTTTTTTTAACTGCTGATTTTCAGTCAACATTTTTCAATCATTTTTCACAAATCACGCACAAAAATGTTTCTCTCCTTTATGAGTCATCATGTCTAGCAAGAGACCGAATTCTCACTCGCATGATTTCTCATATGAAGAATTAAACTACATTTTTTACAGAAACGTTTTTCACAAATATTGCATGAGAAAGGTTTTTCACCCGTGTGAATTCTCATGTGGACAGTTAAATGGCATTTTTTACAGAAACGTTTATCACAAACATTGCATGAGAAAGGTTTTTCACCCGTGTGAATTCTCATGTGGACGGTTAAATGGCATTTTTCACGGAAACGTTTTCCACATACCTTGCACAAGAACGGCCGCTCACCTGTGTGAATAGTCATGTGTTCCGTTAAAGACTGTTTGTATTGGAAACTTTTCCCACACAGTGTGCATGAGAAAGGCCTGTCACTTGTGTGAGTTCTCAAATGAACAGATAAATGATTTTTTTGAGTGTAGGTTTTTCCACAGATGACACAAGAAAAAGGCCTGTCACCTGTGTGAATTCTCATGTGAAGATTAAGAAAAGCTTTTGCACAGAACCCTTTCCCACAAATCTCACAAGAGAAAGGCTTCTCCGCAACATGAGTCCTCACGTGAACAGTTAAACTACTTTTTCGGCTAAAGCTTTTTCCACAGATCTTACAAGGGAAAGGCCTGTCACCAGTATGAATTTTCATGTGTTCAGTTAAAAAATCTTTTTCACAGAAACCTTCTCCACAAATCTTACACGAGAAAGGGTCTTCACCTGTGTGACTTTCCATGTGAAGAGTCAAACGGCCTTTTCGACAAAATGTTTTGAAGCAAATCACACAAGCGAAACGCTTCCCACCTGTATGGGTCATCGTGTGGCGACGTAAATCAGCTTTTAGACGGAAATCTTTTCCACAAACCTTGCACAGAAAAGGCCTCTCGCCTGTGTGAATGCTCATATGATCAGTCAACAAACCTTTTTCAATGAATCCTTTTTCACAAATCTTGCAAGAGAAAGGTCTCTCACCTGTGTGAGTTCTTGTATGAATGGTTAAATGTCCTTTCTGACTGAAACCCTTTCCACAAAGGTTGCACATGAATGGCTTCTCACCTGTGTGAGTTCTCATGTGAACATCTAAATGACATTTTCGACTGGAAGTTTTTCCACATATTGTACATGAAAAAAGTCCCTCATCTGTGTGAATTTTCAAGTGTTTAGTCAATGAACTGTTTTCAGTAAACGTTTCATCACAAATTCTACAAGAATACAAATTTTTATCTTGAGTTCCGGTGAGCTGATTTTGTTTTGTACTATGATGATTCTCATCATCATTTTGCTGCGGCTCTTCATCTCTTTCTGATTCTGATTCTTTGTGATTGTTTGTAGGAGTCACCATGAACTCATCCGTCTCCCACTTCACCACGACTTGCTCTATTTCCCGGCTCTCTTGCTCTTCTTTTAACTCCTGATGTTCCAGGTCTCCCATCTCTTCTTTTATTTGCTGACATGGCAGCTCCTCTTGTTCTTCCTTTATCCTCAGTGCTTCTGGTTCCTCCTGGTCCAAACTAGAGATGTTCTCTTTTTTAAACAGATGCTCCTCCTTCACATCATCAGGATGCAGAAAGTCTGGTCAGGCAAGCAAACAGAAGCTTTTATCAAAAACAGAATTTGAGACAGTTTGTTCTGAAATCATCTTAAAAACTGCACGGATAGAAATGAAATTAGCTACTAGCTTCTCTTTGGTAAATTATTTATAGTTTTATACAATTTGAGCTTTCAAAACTCAAACTCATCTAGTTCACCTTCTTTCATTTCTTTGGAAAAATCTGTTTTGTCACGTGATTGCGACTAGTCGACTGGCCCGAAAAAAAGTCATTGCAGAAAAAAGAATCGACCAGCTGACTAATAGGTGCAACCCCTAATCCACGCTGTTGTTTTTTTATTTTTATTTTAAGCAGCTCTGAGGAACAGTGGCGGAAATTTAAGCTGCTGAACAAGTACCTAGTGAGTTGCTAGGTAACCAAAAAGTCTTTATTTGTATATTTTGTGCAAAACCATTCAGTGACTTTCAAATTTTTTCTTCAGAGTTACTGTCATAAATTGATGTGTGGCAACAACACAACCAATAATGAACTGTGTAGTTCCATTAAAAGTAATTTCTCAAAATTTGTAACAGATGCTTAACAAAATACAAATTGTAGAGGATTTCTGGTCATTTTCTTGATTTTAGCTCAACATTTCAATATATCCAAAAATATCCTAGTTTGTTCCATTTCTTATATGCACTACTGTTGTGAAGTAGAGGCTTTAAGATACTGAGTATTTTTGCAGCAGGGTGTTTCTCTCTGTAAGATGAACAGCTGCAGATTCAGACCAAGGTTACCTGTAGCGCTTGAAGGCCGATATGTTTTAACACTATCAGGCAGTCTGCTGCTCGGTGCAGTTAGCATCGCTTCCTTTGGGATGAAAGGAAGCCAATTTTCACTCATTTTACGTCATTTTAACAGCGTTTCAACAATTACTTTTCCCTTTTTCGACATGTTTATATGTCTAAATACTGGGTCTCCGTTGTTAAAAGCTCCAGAAGTTACTGCTTTAATCTGCAAAGAGCCATTTCTTTCTTAATTACACGTTAGCACTGCAGGTGTTTCGTACCTATTCGGTGTAAGATAATCTGCGGTGTTCGGGTTAAATCCAGCAGCCTGCGCTGATCGTCCACCTCCTCCTCGGCCTTCACGACGATTGTTTTGAACTCTGCTGGTGTTTCTTCGGCGGAGGTTGACTGTTCGTTCATGAACTCCCATTCGGGGTGAACTAAAGACATTTTTACAGCTGAACCACAGAAGATACGAGTCTCCAAAAAGACTCCGATATAAACGTTGCTGTCGGATGTTTCACCATCTCATCCCATTCCTGAGTTTCTCTTCTTCTGCTTCTCCTCTTTGTGCTTCGTAGCGCAAGACAGACCAACTGCAAGGCGCTTTACCGCCACCTGCTGGAGAAAAGAGAGGAAACAACAAAAAATCCCCAATTTCTAATGTTACTTTTTTGCTAAGGTATGAGCATACTATGTTTGGTTTTCATGGTGAAAATACTAATATAAGTACAAGATTGGCAATTAATATAAATGTTCATCATCTTCTCCCCTTTTTGCAGTTTTGATTTTGATTAAGGAAATTGAAGTATTTGTTCACTATTCCCATATGTGAACACATATAAAGGTTATAGGCAATTTAATATTTTTAATTTGTTATAACGTATGCTTTTTATTGTTGTTGTTGTTGTTGTATTTGTACCAAAGTATTTACTGTGGAAGTACACATCCCTGCAATACTTATTCATATGCTGTATTCTGTTCATTTGTTTGCCTTTCTATTTGTGAAAGATGTTCTCTCCATTAAAAAAACACAAAATTATTTAGAATACATGGATGTATAATTAATAATAATAATAATAATAGGAGGATGAAGGGATGTTGTATTACACTGTCAAAAGTAAGAGGAAGCAAGATAACGATTCATCATTTCAAAATTTTAAATAGGATTAAAATGAAACTATATTTGGTTTAGTTACTTAGAAATAACTAGAAATAAAAGTTATCAGACAATAATTATCTTAGCACATTAGTAAAATACAGGGTGGACCTTAAGTTTCCATACATAGAAAAAATAAACGCTTTATATTTGGACAACCGTTTTTATTTTGTGGGACTCTGTAATTGCTGCATGTCTTGGATCACATCATTGTTAATCTGCAGCATTTCCAGTTTTCTGAAACTTGCAAATAAGTTTCACCACAATGTCATGTGCGTGTGAATCTTGTTCCATGTTTTCTGTTAAAGTTTTGTGCAACCATGCATCTGCTTCCCGATCCAGCCATCAGTACAATTTCAATTCCTTCCTCTTTTGTCAAACGCATCTTCTTGGGTATCTGAAATATAAAAGAAATATACATTTTACATTCTCCTATGCATAGAAACTTATAGGCCACGCTGTACAGTAGTTCGGGATCTGGTTAAACTCCCTCCCAGTCGGTGGCAGGAAAGCACTTTAAGTAGGTTACCAACCGCCACAAGAGTAAAAGAAGAAGAAGACGTGCAGTCAAAATTCAAAGCGGAACTAAACTAAGTTATTGTTTCTCCGTGTCGTATTTGTGTGACACACGGAAAAGCCAAAACATAACAACATGAGCAGCGTTAGCTTTCCTTCAGCTCTAGTGAATTTGAAAACGAGAAATGTGTGCGAGCTGAATATGTGAGTGTTTGTAGTAAAAATGCCTTCGGTTCAGCTTCAGAACGAGCAGCTAAATCCCACCGAAGAAAAATTCACAGAGTTTGAAGAAATCATCGTCAAGTCCGAGGAAGAGACGGATGGTCAGAGTGGACTGCTGGATTTCACCCGGACTCCTCGGATCACCTCACAACAAACAGGCATGAAACACCAGCGATTATAACGTTTTACTAAGGAAATGATTGTTGTGTCGAGCTGATTGTGTTTCCGTATCTGTTGCGCTTCTACACGGTGTTTTACGACTGATGTGGAGCTGGATTAAAGGGCTATTCCACCAACTTTCTGTTTGTGGGACCTTGTTGTAGAAGGAACTTAGCTAGAAATGTACAATATATGAATAGATCATTTAAATTTTAAGAACAATTAACCTATCTTTTATATTTGTTTAAAATGTTCTTTGGGGGGATTGGGGACAAAATTGTACAACAACGGTATCCAAACCTGAACAGAAATATTTTACACTGATAGGGGGTGTTGATGTTTCCTCACAGTTTTATGTCTAATAAAAATAGATCAAAGTAAACATTACTAGTACTTTAATGTAATTTTGTTGTGGAAATGTTATCCTGAACTACTGAAGTTTCATTTTTATGGAGACATATGGACTAAGAAAATAGTCTTCAGATGCACTAATGAATTAATATGACTTTTGCTGTATTTTACCTCCTTTTTAAAGTTTTTATTTTTTGCTTTTCTTTTTCGTTCTCCAGACCTGCGTCAACATTACGATTTTCAGGGGAAGACGGTTTTAATTGACCAGCAACAGTGTACCCAGGAGTCAACCTCCAGTTTCGACCAGAAGGAACTAAAAGGTCTACAAATAAAAAAGGAGTCTGGGGAACTATTGTATCACCAGATAAAAGAAGAGCAAGGAGAACCAGAAGATCTTCTAATAAAGGAAGACCAGGACGATCTAGGTCATCTCCTCATTAAAGACAAGCAGGAAGAAATACAACATCTGCAAATAAAAGAGGACAAGGAGGAAATACTGCGTGTGCAAATAAAAGAAGAAGATATAGAACATCATCCTGGCTTTGTGGGGCAAGATGAAGAACAGCTTCGGTTGCAAGAGCAGACTGATATCTTAACAGCGACGCTGACTAATGAGGAAAAATATTGCAGTGAACCAGCACCAAACAGAAACCAACAGAACTCTTGTGATTTTCCTGAAGCTCAGAACCAGGGAGGAAGAAAGCCAGAAGATTCAGAATCAACTAGAGCAGAATCACCAAAACAGAATAAAAGACTTCAGAAAACCAGAGAGCATAAAAACAACATTGACAATGCAAAACAAAAAAGCCTGAAAAGAATATCTTTAGGTAAGAGCAGGTATTCTTGTAAAATATGTAATGAAACATTTTTTCATAACAGCACTTGTATTAGGCATCTGAGAACTCATACAGGAGAGAAGCCCTTTTCATGTACAACCTGTGGAAAATGTTACAGACAAAAGGGTCATTTAACTGATCACATAAGAACTCACACAGGCGAGAAACCCTTTGTGTGTAGCATTTGTGGAAAAAACTTCAGTCAAAAGAGCCATTTAACGATTCATATGAGAATTCATGCAGATGAGAAGCCTTTCTCCTGTATGATCTGTGGAAAGAATTTTAGCCAGAAGGGTCAATTAGCTTATCACAACAGAAGTCACACAGGCGAGAAGCCTTTTTCGTGTAGTGCTTGTGGAAAATGTTTTGGTCAAAAAAGTAGTTTAACGTATCATATGAGAAGTCACACTGGTGAAAAACCTTTTTCATGCATAAATTGTGGAAAGAGTTTTACTTTGAAGGGCAATTTAATATATCACACCAAAAATCGCGCATGTGAAAAGTCGTTCCACTGTGTCACTTGTGGAAAAAATTTCTGTAAGATAGAAAACTTTACAAATCATCTGAAAATTCACACAGGTGAGATGCCTTTTTCATGTATTACCTGTGGAAAATCATTCAGCCAAAAAAAGAGTTTTAATACTCACCTAAGAACTCACACAGGTGAGAAACCTTTCACATGTAAAATCTGTGGGAAAAGCTATATTCAAAAAAGTAGCTTAACGTATCACATGAGAATACATTCGCTCGAGAAACCGTTTTCATGTAGTACTTGTGGAAAAAGTTTCTGCAAAAAAGATATTTTCAAATCTCATTTGAGAAGCCATACAGGTGAGAAGCCTTTCTTGTGTAACACATGTGGAAAACAGTTTACTCGCAAAAGTTTTTTAACAGTTCATCTAAGGGTTCACACTGGTGAGAAGCCTTTCACATGTTCTACCTGTGAAAAATGTTTCACTCGGAAAAGCTTTTTAACAGTTCACATGAGAACCCACACAGGCGAGAAGCCTTTCTCATGTTCTGCTTGTGGAAATACTTTCAGGCAAAGGGCTCATTTGATTTGTCACATGCGAACTCACATGAGTTCACATGAACTCATGCAGGATTCATGTGAATCCTGCATGAGAAGATGAGAAGATGTAGAGAGGATGTAATTTGGTGAATGCTTTGAAGTTTTTTAGCCTCAAGGAGCTTGGGCACGTTTTTAGAACCTGAAGTAAGCAAAATGTAAAAAAGCTTCACATTTAAAAACAATAACTGCAAAAATGCCTTCAGACATGTCTAAACATTTCAAAGCATGTAATGTATTTAATAGTGTATAATGCTTGCAGTTTTTGAATAAATTAAAGATGTTCTTCTACATATATTGTGTCTGTTTTTATTCCTTTTCAGAAGGCAAATAAAATGGACCCCCAGTATTTCTGGAGGTTAGGAACCACATTCACAAGTACAAGATCATACATTAGCGCTAATGTAGGAAAGTTAAAATAATAGATATAAAAAATTAATATTTAAAAGGTTCTTATCCTGCTTGGTGCAATTCCACTAATTATTTGCAAACCAGGTACTATGAATTCAGTCAAAGCACAATAAGTGAGAACTTAGTGTGTCAAGATGCTGCATCACATGATGCTGCTTGAAGACATTATTCAGATTGCTGAACCTTGCTCATAAGAGTGACTGAACGAGTTTGTTTATTGTCTGTGAACAATGTGCAAATAAAAGTAAAGTGTTTTTCAATCTACAGTAAAAGCAAAAAAAAAGTATTTAATAAAAATGTACTTAAGTGCCTAACTGACCAGAACATGAAATAAATATTTATTTTAATATTTCTCTGAAAAAACTTCTGGTATATGACCATGAAAGTGACATAATTACAAAACAAAATTCAGGGATAAGAAATGCTTTATCAAATCAAAACCTTTCAATAGAAAAAAATATAAGACTAAAATGTACAGCAGGTGGTGTATACATGTTAGAACAAGGTTTATGGTGTTTGCTTTATCTTCTTGATTTTATTTATTTCATTTTATTTTTCAAAAAGGAATTGAAGTGAATGTAGTTATAAACACCTCTGCATGTTTTTGGGGTCGTTTGGAAAACAGGTAATACCGACGTTCTCCAGAAGATGGCAGTAATGCAGGCTGTTGAATTTCAGCTGTCGGAGAATGACGTACTTCCGGCGCGTCACTCAATGAAACAACGGAAGCTAACGTTGCTGCTAGCCAGCTTTGTTTACATTTTGTTTGAGCTGAGTAAATGACAACCTGGAGCAACAATGTCTTCGCTTTCCTCTCAGAGAGAGTTCACCAACGCGCCTTCACCGCCTGCCGAAGAAACATTACCAGACATTAAAGAAATTATCGTAAAATCCGAGGAAGAGATCGATGACAGCTTGGATTTCAGCGAAAAAACCCAGCTCGTCGTAAAACGTACAGGTGTGAAGGTCCGGGTGTGGTGACGTCTTTATGCCGCTAAGATCGTGTGTCTGAATGTTGTGTGATGCCGTTTAAATTTAATTTTAGAGCTACAGAGAACATCCAATTACATAAGCTGTGGTTATACGGACGCAAAGCTGAAGTATTTAATATTTTTGGTGCGGTTTTTAATAGTATAATTATACTGTAAGGAGCGCCTTTACATGGGAGTTTTTGAAACAGGGAGGCAAAAGAGCAGCCAAGCTACCCGACCGTTTGTCTGTGTATTAGTTGCGCATATACACTGTGTATTACGGTTTCAGTATTGTTTGTGTGCTGCTATTGCATCTGTGAACTTCAAGTTGGTTATTATTGAAATCACTTAAAATACGGAGTTTAATTATGTAATAATAAAAATAAAATAAAAGATACTTTAGCCTTTTTATGCTTATTTGCAAAAATATTTCGATAAAATACACACCTAGAAATTAGGGATATGAACTAACATAAAAAAAAAAAAACTTTTCATAAATATTTGCATATTAAAATATATATTATCTACAATACGGAAATATTTCAGAATATTCTCTAAATCTGTTTAAAGAGGACAAATTCAGCCAACAATTTAAAAAAATGTTTTTCTTCCCTGTTGTCAGAAACTTCTTTAAAAAGTTAATTTTAGTGTATTATCTTTTTAGGTATTACAAAGTAAACCTGTCACATTGCTTATATTATGCCAATAATAATAATCCAAAGTTTTAAGTTTGGAAAAGCTCAATTAACTCTTCAATGGTTGGAGGAGAGATTTGTGGAGCTGTGGTTCATCCTTCTACCAAATGTTTCATAAATGTAGTTTAACTACTGATTTTGGTGAATGCTTTAAAATTGATCTCTTGTTTTTATTCTTGCATTTAGTGAATAGTCATCATTTTTGTTGTCCTAAAAGATTTTGAGAAAGACTAAAGATTTTGTCTGAGATTTTGCGCATTTTCGCAATATTTGCAAGTGAAAGAAATGTTTAATTTTTGCTCATCAATTTCCATTTCCACACCTGCCTCTGCAGCACCACACTGAGTGAATTTGCTCTTCATTTGGAGTTCTTTATGTTAACAAAGCAGACCAAAGTGGATCCAGTGAGGGTTAGAGGAAGGAATTTGGCTCAGAAAACGTTTTGGAATAGGGAAATACTTTAAAGAAGGGAGAATAACAGTAAAGGACAAGATTTTCCAAAATGAGCAATAGAATGCTTACTTGTAAAGGTTTAAGTGAAACAAACTGACAATTTAAAGAAAGAGAAAACTGAAGAGATGACATGATGCAGATACAGAAGCAGCCGTGCATCCAGTCTTAACATAATATGCAGTCCATATTTTTATTTTAGAAGATTTTCTCTTTTTGTGAATTCTTGTTGCTCACCATAACAAAGTTCGGTTATTTTAGGTTTCAATTCAGTTGGTATTAAATCATTTGTTGTTTTGGGGATAAGTTGGACAATTGATCATTTTTTATGTTTGTTTGCATGCGCAGACCTTCAACATCATGATGTAAAGAAGGAGGAGGATTTTTCTGGCCAGGAGGAACCACAGTCTCTGACAATGAAAGAAGAACAGGGTGAGCTACAACATCTGCAGATAAAAGAAGAAGAGAATGAGCTTTGCATTACCCAGGATGAAGAACAACTTGTGGTGAAGAAGCAGGAAATGAAAACCTTCCCTGCATCTCCTACCGATGTAGAAATAAGCTGCAGTGAACCCAAACTAATCATGGAGCAACTCATCTCTCAGGACGGCTGTGATGCTGAGAACCGAAATCAGGAAGAAAGCAACGATGAAGACACAGAAATAAGCAGCGATGAAGAACCGAAACAAAATAACAAACGTCAGAAAACCAGAGGGTATGATAACAATTCTGGCAAATTAAAACAAAAAGAGCAGAAGAAAACTCACAAAGACAAAAATCTGTATTCATGTACGATGTGTGATAAATTGTTTTCTCAAAAGACTCACTTGATCTACCACATGAGAACACACACAGGTGAGAAGCCTTTCTCATGCAAGTTTTGTGGAAAATGTTTCAGTAGAGAAAGTATTGTGAACAATCACCTGAGAATACACACAGGTGAAAAGCCCTTTTCATGTCTGACCTGTGGAAAAAGTTTCACTCTCAAGCATAAGTTAACGGATCACATGAGAATTCACACAGGTGAGAAACCGTTTCTGTGCAATGCTTGTGATAAATCTTTTAACCTGAAAAGCAATCTGAAGCAGCACATGAGAATCCACACGGGCGAGAAGCCTTTCTCATGTGTGACCTGCGGTAAAAGCTTCAGTCAAAGAAGTCAAGTAACGCTTCACATGAGAAGTCACACGGGTGACCGACCTTTTTCATGCGCGACCTGTGGGAAATGTTACAGTCACAAAGGTCACCTGACTGATCACATGAGAACTCACACAGGTGAGAAGCCATTTTCATGTCTGACATGTGGAAAAAGTTACAGTCAGAAAGGCCATTTGACAGTTCACATGCGAATTCACACAGGTGAAAGGCCGTTTCCATGTAGCACCTGTGGAAAAACCTTCAGTCGAAGAAGTCGTTTAAAAAAACACGTGAGAATTCACACAAGATAAAAGTCCTGTGTGTGACCTGTGAGAAGTGTCTCAGTTTAAGGAGCTAAGAAGCATTTTATATAGCTGTGAACTTTAAATTATCCCCTCACTTATTTCTTATTTTGCTTTTTGGTTACTTGAATGTAAAAATCCAAAGTATCCTTGTCTGAGTAATGTTCACTTGAACACATTTCTAATAAATGAATGTGTCTTCAGTACAATCTTGTGTTGAACACACCGTAAGAGCAATAAGGAAAAATAAAACTACTGTTTGCTTTTACACACACAGAGGATCACTATAGAGTGACATTAAGTCATACAAAACAAACTCAAGCTAAATAAACACCAGCTTCATGTAAAAACTATCTCTCCTACTAAAGTTTACCATGAATGGAACGGCAACAACAGAGCAAAATTGGGGCTGTAAAGTTTGTTCAAAAGAAAAACTTTAAACATAGTCAATCACATGATATGAGTTTTTAAAATGGTCAACAACTTTGAACAACTAATTTTGTGTCTCATTAAAACTGTGAGCACATCGGTTTTTGATAATATTTTAGGACATGCTGCCTTATTGTTAAAATGACCTGAACATACTGACAAAGGTATTGATTTGCATTGCTACTAACAGCCTTGTCACTGAGCACCAGACTCAGCGACTCCATTGGTTCCCACTTTGCAACGTGATCAAACTTAAACTGGATGTGACGTCATGAGGAGTTCAGAGGTCAATGTGTAAAGGTTTGTAAATATGTCTCGTTTTATATCTTGGTTGTTGAATGCAAGTAAGTTGATTATGACCCCGTTATCAAATCTATGTAACTTTTCTTTACAGCACATAACAGAACAATCCCGGCATTGTACTTGAGAGCAGTTGTATTTATATTTTATTGATGAAATATACAAATAAATAATAAAAATCATTACTTTGTGTTATTTGGTTGTTCATAAGAGATGGTATATCTAACTTTACAGCTGTTTTTGATCATGTGTGCTTGTATGTGTTGTATATAATTTTCAAGACTAAACCCATGAAGACTAATCAGCATAATACAGGCCGGAGTAAGTTTAGTCAATTTATTTCAGACTGTTTTGGTTTTTCAGTTTTAAAGTTATGGTGTATTTCAGGAAAATGTGGACCTTAAAATGAGGAGGACTTACCCTACCAAATTTGACAATAGATGACATAAAATCCAACATAACTAAATAAGTGTAGAAATTAATTATTTATATATGGTTTTGTTTCCTTAAATATTTATTTATCGGTTCGTATTAAAATACTTTTTGCCATAGACATGCTGTAAAGCCATTGTGATACACAATTCATCCATGGGGTGGCAATAATTCATCACAGAAGAAGAAGAAGTAGTAGAAGAAGAATCTTCCAAATGAGATGCTAACGGTGTTAGCTTATCTTTGTCTGGCGTCATTTTGGGTCCCGTTGTGGCGTTTGAGCTGAATTTATGGGTTTCGATAATCAAAATGTCTTCAGTAAGTTGTAAGGAAGAGATTAGTGACGACGAATTAACTCATGTCGAAGAAACATCCACGGAGCTCAATGAAATAATCGTAAAGTCCGAGGAAGAGATCGGTGGCGAGCGCAGATTGCTGGATGTCAACCGGATACCCCAGATTATCGTCCACCAAATAGGTATGAAACACCAGGAGTTCAGACCTTTACCTGATGAGAAAAATGAACTGCAAACTGATTCGGTTTGCAGTTCATTTTTAATGTTTACGTATTACAGACCAGTCACGTAAGTTTAATGGCGTTATCCATTTCATTTCGTCCACACCGTTTCTTGTTTACCAGGTTTTGCCTTTTCTTAAGTCAATCTTCAAACCGTTTTTCATTAGTGGTCTAACAAGCCAACGGTCGCCCTGGGCTGAAATTAAGCGCCGCTCATATGCGGTGTATTACGGCGTTAGAGCTCTTTGGGGCAGGTGTTTGCGATCTGTTAGTTATAAACATCCATCAGAGAGGAGTCTCACGTTTCATTTGGTTCTTTTTAATTTAACCAAAATTCTAAGAATATTTTCTCAGAATTTTGTCTTTTATTTTATTTATTTATTTATTTATTTATTTATTTATTTATTTTACTCTTGGGGCAAATCTTCCACACATATATATAAAATAAAATTCAGGTATAACAACAGCATGCAGGTTCACACTAAGACATAAAAAAAACTATTAAAACATATCAAATGTAAAAAAAAAAACCATTGAGAATATACTGTAAGTAATTATGAGATTATAACTTGAACAATACTGCACAACTGTGCAAGGAATGTGCAGCTGAGTAAGTTTACTTAAATTCGTAATGGTAATTTGTAGTTGTGCATCATGATTAACTGCTTGGTTGCACTGATCTTACCTGGTTGCATTACAGGACAAGTGGCTGACAGAACCAGACCATTGAGCTACTGTTTACATTCACTGAGTTGTAAACAGTGAATGTTTGACACAGCTGCCAGCGGTTGCTGCTGAGTTATTGAATGAAGCATAACACGTGTCTCTGTTGTCAGCTCAGCCCCATAATATTGTGCTGATTTTTTTAAGTGCTTTTATTTTACTTGGTTAATAACTGTGGTGGAAAATCACTAAGTTAACATCTGCTGATCATGTTATATTAAATGCCTTTTAATATAACACTCTTTGGGTGACCTGTACAGGGTTGGAAGTTGTTTTCTACAGCTGCAAGGGAACCAGACTGTCGCCCCTTGTTTTGAATTCCTTACTTTGGTATAAAACCTGTATTGACTCTGCTCAGCAGAGCTTTTCACCCAGACCTGCTTCATTATTGATTGTCACACAAGCTCTCTATATTGTGCACAACCAAACACCTGACAGTGTTTGGTTAAAAAAAAAATCCACAATATAAGCTATTTTCTTTTCTGTTTGCTTCTTCAGATTCACAGCATTATGTTGAGAAGGAGGAGGTTCTCATTGGCCAGCAGCTTGGGGACCAGGAGAGGATCCTCCCAGTGGACCAGGAGGAACCAGAACCCTTGCAGATCAAAGAAGAACTGAATGAGCTACAACATCCAGAGATTAAAGAGGAAGAGGATGAACTCTGCGTCAGTCATGATGAAGCACGTTTTGAGCTGAAGCAGGAGACTGAGACCGTTATGGTGACTCTTTGTAATGAGGAAAAATACCACATTGAACTAGAACCAAACTGGAACCAGGTCATCTCTCAGGATCCGTCTGAACCTGAGATCCAGCATCAGAAAGGAAGCAGTGATGAAGAATCAGAATTAGAGACAGATGAAGAAGAGCAAATTCAAAGCAAGAGATGCCAACATAATAACAGTATCTGTTCTTGTGAAATTTGTGCTGAATTTACTCCTCACAATAGTCTTTTGTCTCAAAGCATTGAAAATCACACAAAGGAAAATTCTTTCTCATGTCCGACTTGCGGAAAAAGTTTTTCTCAGAAACGTTGTTTGACCAACCATGCGAGAGTTCACACCGGTGAAAAGCCTTTCTCATGTTCAATTTGTGGAAAAGGTTTTACTAAAAAAACTCATTTAACTCATCACTCCACAACTCACACAGATGAGAAGCCTTTTTCATGCTTGACCTGTGGGAAAACATTTAGGTTCAAAAGCAGTTTGAATATACACGTCAGAATCCACACAGGCGAGAAGCCGTTCCCGTGTGTGACTTGTGGAAAAAGCTTTAATCAGAAAGGTAATTTGATTTATCACATGAGAATCCACACAGGTGAGATGCCATTCTCCTGTAGCATCTGTGGAAAGGGTTTCACTCAAAGAAGTCAGTTACAACTACACATGAGAAGCCACACAGGTGAAAAGCCTTTCTCATGTGTGACCTGTGGAAAAAGTTACAGTCAAAAAGGAAATTTAACTTGTCACTTGAGAACTCACACAGGAGAGAAGCCCTTTCCATGTCTGACCTGTGGAAAAAGTTTCACCATCAAAAGTCTTTTAAACAAACACCTCCGAACTCACACAGGTGAAAGACCTTTCTCCTGTTTGACCTGTGGTAAAAGTTTTCTTCAAAAGACTCATTTAACGGATCACATGAGGATTCACACTGGTGATAGGCCTTTTTTGTGTATGACTTGTGGAAAAGGGTTCCTTCAAAGAACTCATTTAACAGATCACATGAGAATTCACACGGGTGAGAAGCCTTTCTCATGCAACATGTGTAATAAAACGTTTAGCCTAAAAAGTAATTTGAATTTACACATGAAAACTCACACAGAGTAGAAGTCTTCCAAAAAAAAAAAAAAACATTCAAACAAAACTGGAAATATCTGTAATAAAACACACAGATTTGCACATATGTATGCAAAATTATGGAAACACCTCACCATCTCTAGACTTAGAAAAAGTCTAAACCTGACTTGGATAGGATAAACTGTTCTTATAATGATTTCCAATGCAGTGTTTATAAATATGAAGAAGTTGCAATGGAATGTATATAGCAGTTTTGTAAAGCTATGCCAATTTATTATGTTGAATTGATGTTTTTGAAGTTACTATGTGTTGTTGTGCATGTAGTTGAGCATACTGGGAAATTCGATTGTCTTTTTTGTGTTATTACATTTGCAGGAGACAAATGGAAAAGTCCATTTTCATCCAGGTACAAACAGAAAAATCACAGTTTTCATTTCTGTTTAGAGCCAGAGTGCAAACAGACAAAGAATCTGGCATGACCGAGAATCTTTGCCCAATCAAGTCTACAAGCAAGTTTAATGAATTACATTGATTTACTTTTTCCTTTAATAAATTGAAATGTGTTTTTTATACTGTAATAAGGTTATCTCATTCCAGCTGTAGTGGCTGCTATTTCGTTCTGTTTAAAGCCACTATATAGTTCAACAAGCCTTGGTTTTCTCTCCTTTGTTTACATCCATTAGCTTAGCTCTGAGCTTGACGTGTTTCTGTTCCACAGTATGCTCTTGTGCATCTCTTAGTGAATTAAAGAAGTACTTCTAAAAATCCACACAAGATCGACTTTACTTTTTTTGAGCAGATGATACAAATGATTCTTTAATCATTCATCAAGAAAGAGCCAATGAAAACCCGACACATTCAAATTTCTTTGCCTAAAATCAAAACAGCATTTTACGGATTTTCAATTACGTCCATTAGGTGGCGCTTTTCTACAAAAACATAAATTGAAAACTTAGTATTAAGAAAATATCTAAATATGCAAAAGGCATTCACAATGATAAACAATGTCACAAACTGACGTTTTTGGCTTTTTCACCAGCGTTAAAATTATTTTGATGATCTGAAGCTGTTGAAGTTTGACGAAAGTGCAAAAACAAAACCGTGTCTATATACTTATATTTCAAAAGTGTGTACATTGAGAAAAAAGTGTAGACAAATTAAATTCCTCCCATGAGCAATAAAAATGATATTTCTTTTTTAAAAATAAGGGCATAAAAAGTGAAGTGGGATCTGTAACAGGAAAAAATGGAGTCTGTAAAATATGTTAAGAATAAAAGTACTTACTAAATATAAAGAAAATAATGATTTTCTATGATCAAGTTGTTATGGTCTGGCTCTAATACCATAACAAATTAAAGGAAGCAACGCATGGGATAACTTAAAATAGGATTTATTTAACAAAAATCATAGCTGGTTGGAGAGGAAAGGGAAAAAAGAGGAGAAGTGGACAGACAGAAAGAAAAGGGCTGGGCTGATGAGAAAAAGGTGGTGCATTTTATGCTCATCTGATGTCATTCATGGAGACACTGGCCAGCTGCCTCCACTTCCAATCAGCACCAATGAGAATATCTGGAGCAAGGGTGCTAAACCCCAAAGGACTAGCCTTGGGCCGTAACACCCCCCCTCTTCAAAACAGGGTCCCTACTGGAACCCTGGGCAACCTATGTATCAACATCTGAAAAAAATAGAAAAACAAGTTTAAATACACTCACGATATCTCAGACAAGCTGAGATGAAACAGAAACAGATCCTTTTATATCCCATGTCCAAGTCGACAACTGGTACCATGAAGTGACTCAGACAGGTAAAAGGGAAAAAAAGTTACTGACTTTGCGCTCTTGACAAAGCATCTGCGATGACATTATCCTTTCCCTTGATATGACGAATATCTAAAGAAAATGACTGCAGAAACAACGACCATCTCACAAGTCTCTGATTTGGGCATCGAAAAGAGTTCAAAAAGGTCAGAGGATTGTGATCTGTAAAGACAGTTAAAGGACCTGAGCCCACATAAACCTCAAAATGTTGTAATGACCAAATAAGAGCATCTATGACTGAATAATTCAGTTGATGTCTATTAAACTTCCTAGAGAAAAAACTCACAGGTCTCTCAATCAAAAAGTCATCCATTTGCAAAAGGACTCCCCTGCACCAACATGACTGGCATCAACCTGTAGTTTAAAAGACTTATTCATATCTGGAGCCAACAAAACAGGAGAATCACATAGCATCCTCTTCACATCTTCAAAAGCCTGCTGACAGACAGAGGACCAGCTGTATTTCACATTACTTTTCAAAAGATCTGTCAGAGGTGCAACCACCTTCGAAAAGTTTCTGCAGAAGGCTCTATAATACCCAACTAAACCCAAGAATTTCATGAAAAAATACCAATAAATTGCCCAAGCGCTCGCACCACAGACTTTGCAGTAAGTGTGTGCAATGGATAGGCTGCTGGATACCTGGTACTTTGGCACATAACTGTCAAAAGATACTTAGCACCCAAACGTGAAGGTGGAAGAGGACCCACACAGTCAATTATTAAGTGCTCAAATGGTTTACCAATAGTTGGAATAGGATACAGTGGTGCCCGGTTTATGACTTGATTGGGTTTACCAGTCAACTGACAGGTGTGACACCTGTCACACCTGTGACAGGTGTCACACCTGTCATATATTACAAGTTTTGATATATGAAGCAATATCTTTTTTCAGCCGCGGCCAAAAAAAAACTTCTCAAAATGCGGTCATAGGTTTTTCTGACTCCCATGTGTCCGGACTTATCATGGGATACCTGCAAAACCAAGTCACGCAATTTCAAAGGCACCACAACCTGATAAACTGGCTGCCCAATAACATCGTCACCACATGGCATCCACTTCCTTAACAGTACCTCGTTCTCAACAAAGTGGCCATGAGCATGGTTCTGCATCTCCTCAGCAGGTAATGCAGACTGAAACAAATGCTGTATTGTGGGGTCAGATCTTTGCTCCTGTCCCAAATCACTCTGTGAAATAGAAAAAGGAATATTAGACCAACAAAAAGAGGACGTCTGTGTATCTTTTTCAAAGTTTTCATCCTGATGATCATCACTGGATGCTTTCATTGCTCGTGTCACAGCACATGCTTGGAAAACTTCTGGGTGTGATTTTTCACTGAAACAATAACTGGAGATTCTGGTTTATCAGGCCAGACTTTCCCTCCAGCTATATGGTTCCCCAATATAACTGTGACACCAACCACAGGTAGCGCAGGTCTAACACCCATCCTTACTTCTCCTTCAAACAACTCCGAATGAAGCATAAGCTTATGTACTGGAACACAAAACACAGACATGCCCATACCCAACACAGGTATTGATAATCCAGTGTCAGACTCATCTGAAAAAGACAACACTGATGCCAGAATGAATGAATCGTATGCACCAGTATCTCTTAAAATGGTAACTGGTACCCTGACGTCACTTCCAATTAAAGAAACTTCTCCTTCCATAAGAAATGGTTTATAAGAACTCAAATCAGGTTTTCCGGCAAATGGCACTTCAGTCATTTTGTTAGAAACATTTAAAACTGATGCAGCAAGTGCTGCTGGTTTAACCTGATTTCCATTTTTATTTTTAGATTTCAACAAAGCACAGTCTTTCTTCCAGTGACCCTTTCTGTGACAATAATTACAAATTTTGTCCGGCTCACGGATACTACGGTCTGAAAAAAACCCTCCAGAACGTGTTGAACGCCAGTTTGGAGCACTCATCCCATCTGTGTGTTCTCCACCAGTATCTTTATGTGTCAAGACAAAATCATCTGCCAACACTGCAGCTTCTGATACAGTTTTTACCTTCTGTTGATTAATGTACATTGCAATGCCTTGAGAAACAGAGTTCTTAAATTGTTCAAGAACCATTAAATTACAGAGGTCACCAAGTGTTTTAACCTCAGAGGAAGAGCACCAACGATTGAAATGAATCTCCAGATCCCTTGCAAACTCTACATAAGTTTTGTCACCTTTTTTCCAGTTTCTAAACTTCTGCCTGTATGCTTCAGGGACTAATTCATACGCTTTCAGCATTGCGGCTTTAACCTTGGCATAATTCTGGCCATCATTTAAGCTCAACATAGCAAAAGCTTCCTGAGCACGACCAACCAAAACACACTGAAGCAAAACTATGCGGTCTGAATCAGACCAGTCTCTTGTCTCTGCAACCCTTTCAAACAAAGTGAAAAAAGTTTCAACATCTTTTTCACTAAACTTAGGCACCAAACACAAGTCACTTAAAATGTCAGAGGCCTTACATTTTGAGTCCATAACACAAGATTCCACAGACAATTTCACTTCTTTCATCAGATGTAATTTCTCACTTTCCAAATTTATTTTTGCCAATTCAGTTTCCTGTCTTAGTTTTTCCAAAGCAAGAACCTTATCCAAATCTGCTTGCTGTCGTAAATTCTCCAAAGCCAACTCCTTTTCCTTCTCCAGTTGCATTCTTAATCTTAACATCTCTTTTTGTTGTTCAAAATCCAAAAGTTTAGGCTTTACAACCTCTGAATCCAACTCTTCATTGAAGGCAAAGACAAAACGCCCATTTCAATTAAGTTTTCCCTTAAAATTGCTTTAACATTTTCTTTCAACCGTTTATCACCAACACTTATTTTATAGTGCTCAGCAATTTTTACTAATTGTTCTCTTGAACACAAATCCAGAAATCCTGCTGATGGATTTTTATTAAAATCTTCAACAGACATAATTAAGTTCTTAATAAGAAAACTGTTTTTCAAAATTTAAAGTAAATTGCTGACAATCTGTGCAACACAAAAAAACCAACCTGAACTTCCCCTCTAACTGCCTATCAGAAACTAACTACTGTAGCTCAACTTCAGAGATCTGGGACAGTGGGTACTTATGCATTAATTCCAGTAGAGTGGAAAAAAGCGACCAGAAAACTGGCAAACCCCCCAATACTATGGCAGTGACCCTGAGACAAATGCTCCAACCATATGACCTCACACTACTATTTTTGAGCACATGAATCCCAAAGGGGAGACACGCTGAGGCCTAAAGGAGAATCAGATCAGTCATACTTAATTGCACAAACCAGTCAACAATCACACTTACTATTTGAGTCATCAGATGAAATGAAAGCAAACCCCAAACCAGAAAAAGCAGAGAAAAAGAAAAACATTTCTCTCAGATTAACTCAAGATTCCCACACTAATTTCCCAATTAAATTAATAAACAAAACTTACTAACAAAAAAGAAAACTGTCATGCCAAACTATAACATAAATTTGGATGAGCCCCCAATTTGTTATGGTCTGGCTCTAATACCATAACAAATTAAAGGAAGCAACGCATGGGATAACTTAAAATAGGATTTATTTAACAAAAATCATAGCTGGTTGGAGAGGAAAGGGAAAAAAGAGGAGAAGTGGACAGACAGAAAGAAAAGGGATGGGCTGATGAGAAAATTTTATGCTCAAAATTTTATGCTCATCTGATGTCATTGATGGAGACACTGGCCAGCTGCCTCCACTTCCAATCAGCACCAATGAGAATATCTGGAGCAAGGGTGCTAAACCCCAAAGGAATAGCCTTGGGCCGTAACAAAGTTTTTAGGAAAATTTTGTTAGAAATCAATTAATTAATTAAATAAATAAAACACATTGGGTTGTATGGATGTGAATTTGAATATGTCTTTATCAATGGTGTACATCACAGTAAAACCACTAGTTTTAAATCCCGGATTTTAAATTATTTAATTTCCGAAGCGAAAATGGCTATTTATATCACTCGACGGGACAGAATGCAGGCTGGACATCAACTTGACGCTGCGGCTCTGTGGACGGTCAACATCAAAGCCAGGTTGAGGTTGGAGTTTTGTTTCCACAGAGTCACTGGGAATTTGTCGGGTTTTTTAGACTTGTGGGTTTTTCAAAATGTACTGTGCACCATTTCAGACCAGAAGGTATTAATTTATAACAAATTGTTATCGTGAATATGTCTATTTACTTATGTATTTATTAGTGCCTTGACTTGAGGAAATAATGTAATAATTGGGTTTATTGTATGATACACGGTTTGTTAAAAATCAATCAAAATCAAAAATCTTCGAATGTTTCTTCTTCTTCTTCTTCTCCTTTACATTGTAACAGGCATTTGCATCCATTGCTCTTGCACTACTGCCACCTATTGGATCCTCATTTAAAAAACTGTGAATGCTTCTTATTCTATTTATTTCATCATCCCACCTAATTTTCCAAATCTTTTTGCTTCCTCTCCAAACTATACTTTTGCCTTCATATTTAAATCACTTTACTGGCATATCAACAACTTCTTGTTTAATAGCCTCCTTAGCCAACCTATCTGCTCTTTCATTACCCAAAATACCCACATGAGCAGGAATCCAAAATTATATTACATTTTTATTTTGTTCACATATTGTTATGAACAGCCATAACCTCAGTTCATCTCTTTTGCTCTTTGTCTTCTTCTTTGGGGTTTTATGACTAACTGCATTCATGTCATTGCATTACTGCCACCTTGTGGATCCTACGATCATCACATCTACAGATTTTTCTCAGTGCCACTTCTCGTGGCAGAACGTGAAATGTTTTCCTCGTAATAGAAAAGAGCAGAAAAAACAAAAATACAACTAAGACAAAAGACACACAGAATTACTGAAGACAATAATAATCAACCAAACTTTAAAAAATCAAGAACAATCAATGAGTGATTTCATAAAGTTTTTAAAATGGATTTTTTATATAATCATCAAAGAAAATGTAAAATCAGTGCATAACAACACATTGTATTTTTGATAATAAGTCTATTAAGAAAAACATCATCCATCCCTCACACTTTGTCTATACAGAATAGAATAATACAAATCAATCCCTCAAGTCCAATCTTGTGAGAATGTTCTGGAAGGGAGTCCATGTCCAGTCAAACTCTGTTAATGCATGAAATTAGTCACAATGGACCACAATGTCTCTTCATCTATCAGCATCAGTACTGGCTCTCCTCAGGGCTCTGAGCTGAGCCCTCTGCTCTTCACATTGTACAAACACAACATACAGTTTGATATAAACAGTATATAAGTACAATAACATACAGTTTATCATTATTGTTGGATGGTTGCACAACGTCCATATGATCACATTTAACAAATACAACAATTTTCAGCTTTATAGACATGAAACCCCTCCAGTCCTTAATTCTAGTAGTTAACTAAATTAATCCTATAGTGAACCTCAACATAGAACAAGTATGGAAAATACTTCTACAGCTTTTCACCAGTGTGAATCCTCATGTGCTGAGTTAAACAAAGTTTATGTCTAAAACTTTTTCCACAGTTCCCACATGAAAACGGCTTTTCACCAGTGTGAATCCTCATGTGCTGAGTTAAATGCTGTTTTTGACTAAAACTTTTTCCACAGTTCCCACATGAAAACGGCTTTTCACCAGTGTGAATCCTCATGTGCAGAGTTAAATACTCTTTTCGACTAAAACTTTTTCCACAGTTCTCACATGAAAATGGCTTTTCACCAGTGTGAATCCTCATGTGCAGAGTTAAATGCTGTTTTTGTCTAAAACTTTTTCCACAGTTCCCACAATAAAACGGCTTTTCACCAGTGTGAATCCTCATGTGCTTAGTTAAACTCTGTTTTTCACTAAAACTTTTTCCACAGTTCACACATGAAAACGGCTTTTCACCAGTGTGAATCATCATGTGCTGAGTTAAATGCTGTTTTTGTCTAAAACTTTTTCCACAGTTCACACATGAAAACGGCTTTTCACCAGAGTGAATCATCATGTGCTGAGTTAAATACTGTTTACGACTAAAACTTTTTCCAAAGTTCACACATGAAAACGGTTTTTCACCCTTATGAATTCTGATATGATCACTGACAGCATATTTAGCTGTCAATTGTTTTTTACAGATGACACCTGACAAAGGTTTTCTTCTGTCCTGATGTTGGTTCTCAGTTTCATCAGGCTTTTCTAACATGTCTTGGTTTCTGTTTGGTTCTGATTCAGTTTGGTATGTTTGCTTATCAACAGGAACCACCATGCAGGTATCAGTCTCCTGTTTTAATGCAATCTGTTCTTCACCCTGACTGCAGTAAACTTCTTTCTCTTCCTCTTTTATCTGCAGGTGTTCTAGATCCTTCTGTTCTTCTTTTATCTGATGATCTTCTGGCTCTTCCTGTTCTTGTTTCACCTGCAGAGGTTCTAACTCCTCCTGGTCCAGAGTGGATCTCCTCTCCTGGTTATAAACGTTACATTTCAGGGAATCTGGATAAGCAAACACAGAAAAGAGAAATTGTTAACTTTACTGAAGTAAATAGGAGAAATTGTTCACAGTTTAAGACAGAAATGAAAAAAATAACATTTGAAAATTCAACAGCGTAGACAGAGATATACATCAGTCGACAAATCCAGCTGACATTTGGAGAATTCTCAAATGAACTGATAAAAAAAATATATTTTATTTATTACAAAATTAAACGTTGTAGGGATTATTGTTAGTATTTAATAGTAAACTGTATGATTTCAATATATTATTTTTTATTACTTTGAATAATAGTTAAATGTAATTTTTGTATACTTTAAATCTTTGGGGTTGAGTTATAAACATGAGTTTATTTGTAGGTTAATAGTTGTTTAGTTTTTGTTCCTTTATTATTTGCTTTTCTAAGCTAGACAGAAAGAACTGTGGGTCCATTTGCTGAAAGTATAGAGGCTTGGAAGTGACGTCACTGCGTGTGACGTTTACGTCGCTGGACGCCATCTTGTATGGCAACATACCAAAACAAACATTTTTTGATGGTTTTATCACGTTTCCACTGTATCTTCCTCTTCCATAATGCTGAAAAGCAGTTTGAAACAAAGTGGGCTATATTGTGAAAAGCTTCTCCCAGAAGCCCCAAAAAAACGCTACATGTAAAAAATATCTAAAATTAGACAAATCAACCCGTTAGAAATACGGAGTTGGAGCAGAGACCCTGATCATCCTCTAATAACAAGATAGAAAGACTTTGAATTAATTTGGATTTACACATGTACAATGAAAGAAAATCCAGTTGGAAAAGTGCAATTAAAGTATGAAATATGTACAATATAAACCTAAATATGCAACTGCTGGAGATTGTTGGCAATATAAGTTTGGTTATATTCATTATAGAAACACTTAACCTTTGTGCATATGAAATATTAGATGTAGCATGAATATTTTTAGTAGATTTTAACTTAGGTAAATTTGGATAAAGATTCAAAGTAAAACAACTGCTGACTTTCTGAACTTAGATAAATCACTAAAGAGGGCCTTCAGAAAGGGAGTGTTGTACCAGCGGATAGAAAGCAGATGTTGAGGGGGTCTGCCTGTTCACAAGATGAGTCAAATTCTTTGGTGTTTGTTTAGGAGTTCAGTAAAACACTAAAACCTTTAGAAAACAATTCTTCTAGAACTATGATCAAATGTATTAAGATATTTCTTTTAAGTATTAACAGCATGTTCTGAACTAGTGAGTGTTTATCCATATTAATTTGCATGCATCTTAGATTACTAAAATAGAACATGATTAGGAAACTAAAAGTTTTAGAAGTAAAATATTTCAGGTATTCTAAAAGAGTTTTTTCTAAAAGAAGATAATCCTGCAACGTTTAGATCCAAACTCACAGTTATCAGCTGACACCAGATTTCTGTGTCAGTGTGTTTATAACAGGAATCAGTTTCTGAGGTCTTGCTGAAGCATAAATTTTGGTCTGGAATGTTTAAAGGAGGACTGGTACGGGAAGACCCTGTTTGAGAATGACCTTTGTTCTCTCCATATATTTGCTTTTGGGTTTGAACAGGTCTCAAAGAAGGTAATAAAATTAACTTTAAACAGTCCTACAAGGGGAGGACACAACTTCAAATGCATATTTTTAAATTAAGGGAATACACCTCCTTATAAAATGTCTGTTTTGCAGCAAAAAAAAAAAAATAAATAAATAAAATTTCTTTGTTTGCAGCGTGAGAGCAATTCCCAAGAATGCATTTTTGTGTCTCCTATTGTGTTTTCCTTTCCAACTTGTTGCAGGTAATTGTATGTTTTGTTATGTGTTTGGACTTCTTGATAATCTGAGTGTAATGCTGATGTAACATTCTATATGCATTCAATTCACTGAAAATCTCTAGATATGTCTGAAGTTTGATGTTGAATGGTTGTTCTCTGTGCTTTCCACTGTGCATGCAGAGTTCCTGGATCTGGGAGACTAGAGGAAAATTAACGAGCCAAGTAAATTTTATTCCTCCAAGTTCAACAAGATGCATCAGCATCTCTCGCGATAAGCGAGTTAGAAAACGGATGCATGGAAACCAAACACACAAATAGTGTTGCACTCACGAAACAGACTCTTCTTCAGTTTCGGCAACTTTATTTGCACATGATGTGTGTATTTGTTTTGGGGCTGCCGTTGTTATGCCGAGAATTGCATCCCCTGTCGCGGGAGCGCGCATCGCTCTAAACTCTCGCATATTGATGAGTAAACGGGCTGAAATCCGACCGAAGGAAACTTTTAAAGATATTCGTAACATTATCACGTTTATTAATCATGTAAGCGCTAAAATTGTGGGTTTTATTTCGCAAATTAATTAAAATAAACAGATTTTTTCACGTTTATTGAGCCATATTTGTCGAACGTTTTTCAGTGTCTGATGAACAAGTTCTCCGCAGCTGCTTTGAAATTCCAAGATTTTTCTTTTAACACCATAATAGCTTAAAACTTTACAATTACGTAGAACATTTTATATCACGCTTAGCTGTCTAGTGTATTAATGTAGGGGAGATGCATTTTAATTTCTGAGCCTGCTAATATTTGCATCCCCTGTCTATTGTCCTGTTCAAGTGTCATTATGTAGAAAAAATATAATTTCCAAGTTAGCAGGGGATGCAATTTTTGGCAATATGGATTTCTAGCTTGCCAAAATTTGCATCCCCTCTACTTTCATCAAATATTGTTGATATGACATTAAATTAATACCAGTAGTTCATGGAACTACTCTGGTCATGTAGAAAAACGTATTTCAGTCTTAATTCTTTATTTCTCCAAATTAGCAGGGGATGCAATTTTTGGCAACATGGATTTTCAGCTTGCCAAAAATTGCCGGAAAATGCATCCCCCTGCTAACTTGGAGAAACACAGAGTTGAGAGTGAAAAAACTTTTTCTACATCACCAGAGTAGCTCTAAGAACTGCTGGTATGAGTTTCATGACAACTCTATCATATTTGATGAAAGTAGAGGGGATGCAGATTTTGGCAAGCTAGAAATCCATATTGCCAAAAATTGCATCCCCTGCTAACTTGGAAATTATATTTTTTCTACATAATGTCACTTGTTCCCTGAGTTACCGCTATAAGTTTCATATGAACAGGACAATAGACAGGGGATGCAAATATTAGCAGGCTCAGAAATTAAAATGCATCTCCCCTACATTAATACACTAGACAGCTAAGCGTGATATAAAATGTTCTACGTAATTGGGCCTCGGTTTTGTAAAGTTTTTAAGCTATTATGGTGTTAAAAGAAAAATCTTGGAATTTCAAAGCAGCTGCGGAGAACTTGTTCATCAGACACTGAAGAACGTTCGACAAATATGGCTCAGTAAACGTGAAAAAAAATCAGTGTTTATTTTAATTAATTTGCGAAATAAAACCCACAATTTTAGCGCTTACATGATTAATAGACTTGATAATGTTACGAATATCTTTAAAAGTTTCCTCTTCGGTCGGATTTCAGCCCGTTTACTCATCAATATGCGAGAGTTTAGAGCGATGCGCGCTCCCGCGACAGGGGATGCATTTCTCGGCATAACACCCGTTACAAAGTCCCTTCTTCCAGAGCTACAACGTTTTAACTGACTACTGACACTACTTCCACTACACAACGAAACACTGACGCAGCACAAAGCTCAGATTGTGAGAAACTCCATTTTCTCTCCATAAATCAGCCATTCTCATTGTGATGTCTGCGTTCATTTACCTGCTAACAAAACATTTCTCCGGGAAAAGAGCGTTTACTAAATGATCCTCATGCAGAAAGATGCAGACATTTAGACCTTAACCTGCATCCAAACGCTGCTGTTTCCTACCTATTCGGTGTAAGATGATCTGGGGAGTCCGGGAGAAATCAAGCAGTCTGCGCTGATCATCCATCTCTTCCTCCGACTGGACGATGATTTCTTTAAACTGTCAATGTTTCTTCAAACTTGTATTCACTAAAACTCTCCAACATTCAACGAAACAGACCAGGCGCCATCTTCTGTTTCTTCTACTTCGTCTGCTGCTTCTTCTTATTTTCTATTATGGAGGATCGTAAGAAACTTTAAGGTGCATACCGCCACCTACTGTACACGAGTGTGTAGCAAAGGTATTTTACGTCAGTCAGATTCTATTTTTTAATTTTGTAGATAAATAAATAATGCTTTCCTTAATATGCAAATATCCATTATATTCCCATCATTTCCCAGTATTTCTTTCAAACTCTATTCTTGATCTGACCTTCCAACTATTCTTCTCAATTTCTCACTTTCACTTTCATGTTTTACAGTTCATCAACACATGTTCTACATTTTCTTTCTCTCCACATTCTTCATACATATCATTATTTTTCTTCCCTATTAAATATAAAGTATCATTTAAATATGTATGCCCTACTCTTAATCTAATAATTATTTGTTCCCTTCTATTTCACTCCTTAATATTTCTACTAAATATTGACTTCTTTATTTGATATAATTTCCTTCCTTTCTTATCTTCATTCCACCTCTTTTTTTTTTTTTTTACCATATATGCATTTCTTTATTCTTAATAATTGATTTTCCTTCCCCTTTTCCAATAGATACCTATTGGAAAAGGGGAAGGAAAATCGCCTTTAGATCAGGCAATCGTTATTGCCTGATCTAAAGCCCTTTTTGCTAATTTATCTGCCCTTTCATTGCTTTTTACACCTTCATGTGCTGATACCCAACAGAACCGAATATCAATGCCACCTCTATATAATCCAAATGAGCTATGTTGAATTTCAAGTACCAGACCTTTCCTATTATTTCCTTTTCCCTGAGTACTCTTTTCTGCTGCAGCTTATTCTATTACTAGAAAAAGATTTTAGGTTCTGCAAAAAGAACTGGCACTTTATGAGAAATCTTTAGCTGTGATGATCGTAGGATCCACAAGGTGGCGGTAATGCGATGACATGAATGAACGACAATCATAAAACTCCAAAGAAGAAGAACCAAAAGAAGATGGCGCCAGGTCTGTTTTGTTGAATGTTTCTCAAATAAATATGCCCAGTCCAGCTTAAACGCCTGGTCTTTTTCGTTGAATATTGGAGACTTTTAGTGAAAAAAAGTTTGAAGCAACATTGACAGAGTTTAAAGAAATCATCGTCCAGTCGGAGGAAGAGATGGATGATCAGCGCAGACTGCTTGATTTCTCCCGGACTCCCCAGATCATCTTACACCGAATAGGTAGGAAACAGCAGCGTTTGGATGCAGGTTAAGGTCTAAATGTCTGCACCTTTCTGCATGAGGATCATTTTAGTAAACGCTCTTTTCCCGGATAAATGTTTTGTTAGCAGGTAAATGAACGCAGACATCACAATGAGAATGGCTGATTTATGGAGAGAAAATGGAGTTTCTGATGCATCTCCGGCAGTTGCATATTTAGGTTTATATTGTACATATTTCACACTTTAGTTGCACTTTTCCAACTGGATTTTCTTTCATTGTACATGTGTAAATCCAAATTAATTCAAAGTCTTTCTATCTTGTTATTAGAGGATGATCAGGGTCTCTGCTCCAACTCTTTATTTCTAACGGGTCGATTTGTCCAAGTTTAGATATTTTTTCCATGTAGCGTTTTTTTGGGGCTTCTGGGAGAAGCTTTTCGCAATATAGCCCACTTTGTTTCAAACTGCTTTTCAGCATTATGGAAGAGGAAGATACAGCGGAAACGCGATAAAACCATCAGAAAAGGTTTGTTTTGGTATGTGGCCATACAAGATGGCGTCCAGGGACGTAAACGTCACACGCAGTGACGTCACTTCCAAGCCTCTATACTTTCTGAAAATGGACCCACAGTTCTTCCTGTCTAACTTAGAAAAGCAAATAATAAAGGAACAAAAACTAAACAACTATTAACCTACAAATAAACTGATGTTTATAACTCAACCCCAAAGATTTAAAGTGTACAAAAATTTGATATAACTGTTATTCAAAGTAACAAAATATATATATATATATATATATATATATATATATATATATTATATTTTTATATATATATATATATTTTTTTTTTTTTTTTAATCAGTTCATTTGAGAATTCTCCAGATGTCAGCTGGATTTGTCGACTGATGTGTATCTCTGTCTACGCTGTTAAATTTTTAATGTTTTTTTGTTCATTTCTGTCTTAAACTGTGAACAATTTCTCCTATTTACTTCAAAAAAAGTTAACAATTACTTTTTTTCTGTGGTTGCTCATTCAGATTTCCTCAAGTGTAACGTTTATAACCAGGAGAGGAGATCCACTCTGGACCAGGAGGAGTTAGAACCTCTGCAGGTGAAACAAGAACAGGAAGAGCCAGAAGATCATCAGATAAAAGAAGAACAGGAGGATCTAGAACACCTGCAGATAAAAGTGGAAGAGAAAGAAGTTTACTGCAGTCATGGTGAAGAACTGATTGAATTAAAACAGGAGACTGATACCTGCATGGTGGTTCCTGTTGATGAGCAAACATACCAAACTGAATCAGAACCAAACAGGAACCAAGACATCTTAAAAAAGCCTGATGAAACTGAGAACAAAAATCAGAAAAGAAGAAAATCTTTCTCTTGTGTCATCTGTAAAAAGCGTATGACTTGCAAATCCATTTTTGATGCTCACATGAGAACTCATATGGGTGAAAAACCTTTTTCATGTGGGAACTGTAGAAAATGTTTTAGTCAGAAACAGGGTTTAACTGAGCACATGAGGATTCACACTGGTGAAAAGCCGTTTTCATGTGTGAACTGTGGAAAAACTTTTAGACGTAAAAAGCTTTTAACTCAGCACATGATGATTCACTCTGGTGAAAAGCCGTTTTCATGTGGGAACTGTGGAAAAAGTTTTAATCGAAAAGAGTATTTAACTCGGCACATGAGGATTCACACTGGTGAAAACCCGTTTTCATGTGTGAACTGTGGAAAAAAGTTTAGACATAAAAAGCTTTTAACTCAGCACATGATGATTCACTCTGGTGAAAAGCCCTTTTCATGTGGGAACTGTGGAAAAAGTTTTACTCTGAAACGGGGTTTAACTCGGCACATGATAATTCACTCTGGTGAAAAGCCGTTTTCATGTGTGACCTGTGGAAAAAGTTTTCGTGAAAAACAGGCATTAACTCAGCATATGATGATTCACACTGGTGAAAAGCCGTTTTCATGTGTGACCTGTGGAAAAAAGTTTAGAAATAAAAAGCTTTTAACTCAGCACATGATGATTCACACTGGTGAAAAGCCGTTTTCATGTGTGAACTGTGGAAAAAGTTTTAGTCATAAACAGAATTTAACTCGGCACATGATGATTCACACTGGTGAAAAGCCGTTTTCATGTGGGAACTGTGGAAAAAGTTTTAGATCTAAAAGGACTTTAACTGAGCACATGAGGATTCACACTGGTGAAAAGCCGTTTTCATGTGTGAACTGTGGAAAAAGTTTTAGACATAAAATGCTTTTAACTCTGCACATGAGGATTCACTCTGGTGAAAAGCCGTTTTCATGTGTGACCTGTGGAAAAAGTTTTCGTGAAAAACAGGCATTAACTCAGCATATGATGATTCACACTGGTGAAAAGCCGTTTTCATGTGGAAACTGTGGAAAAAGTTTTAGACATAAAAAGCTTTTAACTCAGCACATGAGGATTCACACTGGTGAAAAGCCGTTTTCATGTGTGAATTGTGGAAAAAGTTTTAGTCGTAAACAGTATTTAACTCAGCACATGAAGATTCACACTGGTGAAAAGCCGTTTTCATGTGGGAACTGTGGAAAAAGTTTTAGACATAAAAAGCTTTTAACTCAGCACATGATGATTCACACTGGAGATAAGCCATAGAAGTAGTTTCCATACTTGTCCTATGCTGAGGTTCACTATAAAATTGATTTGGTTAAAAAACTAGAATGAAAGACTGGAGGAGTTTCATGTCTATAAAGCTGAAAACTGTTGTATTTGTTGTATTTTCCTTCAGAGATGCTTTTTTTTTGTCATGTTATGTATCAATAAACAATAATGATAAACTTTATGTTATTGTATTAACATGCTGTTTATGTCAAACTGTATGTTGTGTGTGTGCAATGTGAAGAGCAGAGGGCTCAGCTCAGAGCCCTGAGGAGAGCCAGTACTGATGCTGATAGATGAAGAGACATTGTGGTCCATTGTGACAATTTTTTTTTTTTTGAACATTCTTTATTTAACAATATTGTGAATCCAACATATATGCATATGCACATTTATACATGGGCTTCCATAATACCACAAGAGAAAGAAAGAAAGAAAGAAAAAAAATAAAATAAAAGGGGTCAGCAAACAGTTAAATCCATTTCAGCAATATATATACCATACAGAAGGCCTCGTCACATGACAGGGAAGTGTACATATCCAGTGTATTCCATTAAGAAAGAGAGATATACAAAGGGCGCTGACACATCTTTTTATAGCCCATTGACACCTTTACCCATGTGGCCATCCAAAGTGGGAAATAGCTGGGGTCCATATACTCAGAAAGATGTCCATTTTTACATGAAGTTTTGCTGTTATCTTTTCCATTATATACACATTCTTCAATCTTTCTTTCCATTGTTGAAGGGTGGGAGGTAAGGGCTTTAGCCAGGAAAGAGTCATTTTCCTTGCTATCAGTAACAGAATCTGTAATAACTGGGCTTCCTTTTTATCTTCTCTTAAGGTCAAACCCAGTATATAATGCAGTGGGTTCAGTGGTAATGTAAACTTAAATATTTTTTGATTTCTGTCTGAACCCCCTGCCAGAATGGAATCAGCACTGGGCAGTCCCAAAAAATGTGAGTGTAATCCCCAATCTGATTACAGCCCCTCCAGCACAAATTTTGTGGCTTTTCTGTCATATCTTGAAATACTGAAAGGTGTTTTGAAGAACCTCATTTTTAATTTCCAGTCAAATTCCTTCCATCCTGGTCTGTGGGTGATCTTAAAACTTTGTACACAGATCTCCTCCCACTCCTCATCTTCAATAACAATATTCATTTCTAGTTCCCACTTTTGCTTTATGTCTGTAGAATTGTCAGAGAAATGCATCTGTAAATGTTTCTATACATTAGATACAATCTTCCTCTTATTATGGTCCTCTACACATTTTATCAGGAATATTTCTACGGGCGATGTATTTTGTTTCAAGGTAGGCCATTCTTTGTGCGATAAAAGGTAATCCCTTAATTGTAGGTACTTATAGAAATCTTTTGAGCATAGTCCATATTTATTTTGTAACTCAGACCAAGGCCACCTTTTTCTCTTAGGCTTAACAATAATTTCTGTATGATTCTTGGTTTCCTCCTTTGCCAAATAAAGTTATTAATAATTTTATCAAAAATTTTAAAAGTGGAGGCAGGTATCCAAATCGGGAGTGCCTGGAATAGGTACATTAATCGTGGGAGCACATTCATTCTCACTGTTTCTATTCTGCCCAGGAGGGACAGAGGGAGAATCTCCCATCTAGCCAAGTCTGATTTTATTTGTGTGATTAATCTGCTATAATTTCCATTAAATAGTTGCGAGTTTTGTGGTGTAATCATCACACCTAAATATTTGAATCCCCTCTTGGACCAGTTAAAGGTGACCTCTTTATCTAAACCAGTCGGCCATTTCCCCACCAGCATCATAGCTTCTGACTTGGTTTTGTTAACTTTATAGCCTGAGATTTCTCCAAAATCTTTTAAACAAGTCATAAGCCAAGGTATTGAGCTCTGAGGATTAGAAATATACAAAATAATGTCATCCGCATAAAGCGAAATTTTATGGGTGACTCCACCTGCTGTTATTCCATAAATTCTAGAATCTGTCCGTATTATTTCTGCCAGGGGCTCGATACTAATGGCAAATAGTAGAGTCGAGAGGGGACATCCTTGCCTAGTTCCTCTTTTTAAACCAAATTTCTTTGAGGAGCATCCATTCACCCGTACTTTGGATGTGGGTCCAGAGTATAGCACACCAATCCATTTGATAAAGTCTCTATGACTTTATCAAATGTCATAGAGATGCCGAACGCAGCTGCAGATTGGCACCAGCGACTCCCGACCCCGTTAGGGAGAAAGGTGATCAGGAAATGAAAGGATGGATGGAAGATAAAAGTCTTTATTGTCATTGTGACAGGAACAACGAAATTTAAAAAAGTGCCGTCAGTCAGTCCATACGCTTAACAAACTCACAATTTAGGGTTAGGGTAGGGTTAGGGTTAGAGAAATAAATAACAAATACCTAATACACATCATTCATGATGATTGATGGTTATTTTTTTGATTACATTTAGTTTTGTTATTGCTTTCGGATAAAAACTGTCTCTAAGTCGGTTGGTTCTTGTTCTGATTGCTCTGTATCGTCTTCCTGAAGGCAACAGTGTGAACAGAGTGTCCGGCGTGGGAAGTGTCCTTTGTGATGTGCTTTTTTTAGACAGCGGTCATTGTACAAGTCTTCCAGTGAGTGGAGAGGGTCGCCAATGATTTTTTTGGGCTGTATTATGTACAGTAGAGTTTGTGTGCTTTTATTTTTTTAAATTTATAAAATTGACAATAGAATGTATGTAATGGTTGAGTGTTTTCAAACAATCTCCAAAAAAGTATTTGTCTTTAAAGTAAAATGAGATTGAAACTGATTTAATTTCTTTCAAATTATATTAACCAGTTTTACTCTACCTAATTAACAACTATTCATATTTTTAGAAAATGCATTTGCATTTTACATAAAATGCAAGATTCATCACAAACTAATTTTCATGCATCGATTGCACATAGTACATGTGATAAATTTCAATTGTTTGCTCTTTTCTGCTGCAGCTGTTGGATTACTGTCTTTTTATGTTGGAACAATTTTTCTGTGTATTCATATATGTATTTTAGAAAGAAATAAAAGTGTAACACCTCATTTAAGATTAAATGTTTTGAGTTTTCCTTTAGTGTACGTTATGCCTTCTCCTTGAACGCAGAAGATGGCAGCATTCCACCCGTACTGGGTGTAGTCACTGTTGTTCCTGTAATTGATGGGTTGCCGACTCAAATTCCCCACATCCATCTAGGTTGTTGAGTCCTTAAGCAAGGCATCAAACCTGCCTTGCCTGCTGTTAGTCAGAAGTCAGATGGCAGCGATTGTGCATCAACCATTAACTATTCACTTGAATTTTGTCTTTTTGTTCTGTTTTTTATTAAACTGGTCCTGTCTGGCAGTGTGGCATTCAGCATGTAGAGTACCAAGGTTAAGCCCTAAAGACTTGCATAAGTGAAGCATTACAGCTCCTGCCTGATATATTTACATGAAACTTTATAAGAAACTGCTTTGGATTTATTTTATTCAATTCTAATGAGACAGAAGAAAGCAGAAGAGAAAAGAAAGGTGAGAAAAAAGTTTTATAGGGGCACCCTCCTCTCATCCAACTTGACATACAGGTGATCACAGAGAGGGGGAGCCAGAGACCTAACCTGACAGGCAAAATCACATGTTCCCATTCTGATGTGTACACATTCAAACCCAATCATCCAATGTCAAAATAAAACAAAAAAATGGATGCTATACACCCACTTGAATTCCTCATACACAGAGTTCCAACAACCAACCAGAACCAGGACCACCAGCTTCAGAAACATTCAATCAAACCCCTATCCCAAGTCACAGACCCAGCCAGCCAACCAAAGGGTCCATCTAGTCCCAATGAAAAAGGACACGGTATGCGGTTGACCGAGAGAACCCCAATGCAAGAAATGGACCAGCGCAATATCCAGAACAAGAATACCAGCCCACAACCCTGAATCCCAGCCCAGCACCAGGTTGTGGCCACAAATAGGCTAGCAAAGCAATTTATCACACCCCATACCAACACCAAGACTGACAGCAAACAATACCAGACCCCCAAAGAAAGGAGCCAATTAAAATGCAAACACTAGCCAACACAAACACCTTCACCACTTAATACACAAATGAGCCAAAAACACAAACCTCTCAACCCACCAACAACATCACCAGAAGGAAGGATGCCACAGAATAGCCAACACACCAAAAAGAAAGGAACACCTCACAGGTCCATAAACATCTCGGTCACCAAGTGATAAATAAAAAAGCCAATCCTAACCTGGTACAAGGGGATGGTTGTTGTGAAGTCCAGAACATTGAGAGCTCAGCGACCCCAACCCTGACAGACTCACATAGAGACTGCTGGATCATCTCTACACAGAACCACCACCACCCCTCTGCGGCCAACTGACATTGTGAGGATGTCACAATTGACGTACTCTCAACTGAGGACAAGACGTAGCAGGAAGAGCCCAAAACCATGTTGAAAATCCCCGTGCTAACATGCAGTGCATGAACTGATCCAATATCCAGACTACATACTGATCAGAACCCAAGTCTCAGGGTTCAGTCAAGATCCAGCGAAAATATGATTCCAGAATACCAAGTTCCCGAGACCAAGTAACCCAGGAACAATGCAATAAAGGCAGATTAACCTCACAGTGCAACAGACAGAAGTGTGTGTTGTAAGGGTCATTGCTAACAATAAAGTGTGTCTCATGAACTTCCTAAGATATCAACATGTTTTCAATCATTACACTATAATAATGCTACAAAATTAAAATTCCCAACTTACACAGGCAATAGTTAATTATCTTAAGACAAATGCACGTGTTTGTAGAATTTTATACCAAAGTGACGGTGCAGTTCATCCTCCACACCAGTTGGTGGCGATAATGACCCGATTCGTTGTTTGCCAACCGTCAATAAACACCAAAAGAATTAAGCTAAATGTGATGCTAGCTGCTTTAGCTTTCTTTCGCTCTGCTTGAAGCCATCATAGAGAGTCAGACCATCTGTGAGCCGAACATGTGAGTGTTTGCAGTAAAAAATATCTCCAGTCTGGATTCAACACGAGGTTTTAAACGAGCTGCTGCTGAAGAAACATACACAGAGTTTAAGGAAGAGATGGATGACCAGACGCTGGTTTTTACCCGGACACCTCAAATCATCTTATTTCGAATAGGTATGAAACACCCGCGATGGCAACTTTTTTACCGATGACTCAGGATGCAGATTGTGGCTATAAAGCTTTCATTTGGGAGCTTCATTAGCGGAGATTATGCAACGAAGCTAAAGTTTGCTTCCGGTTGTGGCTTCCACTTTCAAAACAGACTAAAGGGCGATTCCACCGATTGTTTTCGAGTTCAAAAATAATTTATGGAGCCCAAAGGAAGAATAAATGTTGTTGTAACATATTAATCCTAATTCTTAAGAGAGTTATTGTAGATTGCAATGACTATAATCTAAAATACTGGTTGTATTGGGAGGAAAGATCTCTTGTGAGCAGTCTGTATTACAGAGAATTTGAAGAAGCCTCTGATTGAAGACGCTCTGTTTTCCCAAGTCAGTCTCATAAAAGGATGGTCAGGCTTGTCCATAATTTTCATTTTATTACTTTGAGCATCTCCAGTCTGCTCTAATTGGTAAACTATGAAACTTAGACTCTTTAATCATAGACTGGATTGTTCTAGACTGAGATTAGGATGTTTCAGACCATTTTTATGTTTTTCAGACCACCTACTGGATCAGTTTTGGAAAGAGGAGGTTTTCTCTGACCAGCATCTCTGTAAACCTGAGACAGGTCCCAGTTTGGACCAGGAGAAACCAGAACCTCTGCAGCTGAAAGAAGAGCAGCAAAAGCCAGAACATCCATGGACTAAAGAGGAACCATTGGAGCTCTGCATAAATGAACATAAAGAGCATCTTGAACTGAAGCAGGAGACTGAAGATTCATTAATGTTGACTCCTAATTATGAAGAAAAGAACCACATTCAATCAGAACTAATCAGTAACCAAGTTGTCTCTCAGAACTTTAAAAAAGAATCATTTATTCCTAAGGAAAACGTCACTCAAGACTTGAAAAGTCACACAGCTGAGAAACGTTTTCCATGTCGGACATGTGGAAAAGGTTTTTCTAAAAAAAGAGATTTAACAGATCACATGAGGATTCATTCAGGTGAGAGATCTTTCAAATGTTGGCTCTGTAGGAACAGTTTCACTACAAAAGTTGTTCTGGACTCTCATGTCAGAACCCACACAGGGGTGAAGCGATTTTCTTGTGCCATTTGTGGCAAAAGTTTTAGTCGAAATTATACTAAGAATTATCACATGAGGCGCCACAAAAATGAAAAGCCTTTTTCCTGGAATACCCATGAGAAAACGTACACATCAAAAGATCCATTGAGCAATAATACAGTTGAGAATCCCTTTTTGTGTGGGATTTGTGGAAAAGCTTTCCAAGAAAGCAGTAGCTTAAGAACTCACCTGATGACTCACACAAAAGAGACACCTTTTCAGTGCAGAACATGTGGAAAAAGTTACAAAGAAAAAGTACATTTCACAATTCACATGAAAACTCATACAGATGGGAAGCTTTGCTCTTTCTGTGGAAAAACTTTCACAACCAAGTCTAATTTTGAAAGACATGTCAGAATTCACACTAGTGAGAAGCCTTTCTCTTGTACAATTTGTGGCAAAGGCTTTATTCAAAAAGAGCATTTGGCTTATCACATGACGCATCACACAGATGATAGGCCTTTTCCCTGTGATATCTGTGAAAAATCTTTTAAAAGAAAGGATGCATTGAAAAGACACATGAGAATTCACACAGGTGAGAAACCCTTTTTGTGCAAGATCTGTGGAAGAGCATTCATCCACCATAACAGCTTTAAAGCTCATTTGCTAACTCACAAATGAGAAGCTTTTTCCTTCCGTGAAAGTTATGAGAAAAACAGATTAACATATGGCCACAGGCACCAATGTAAAATTCAGTTTTTGTCAGAATGTTTCTTTTTATTTTGTGGTAGAAAATAAAGTCAAAGACTACAGATTTTAGGTAGGATTAAAATGAAACCAATCATAAAGAATAATAAGTGAATGAATAATAAAGAAGTATGACTCATGTCATAGTGTCCTGTTAATGCAATACTTGCTGAAATTAAAGAAGAAAGCAACATTAAACGTTTTTGTTTCTGATTTTCACCAATATTTCCAGAGTTATGGGTGCCATCAATTTTGTCCTGACCGATTTCATTAATTAGTTTTTTGAAGCAATTACATCAAAAGCAAAGTCTGGTTTTCATTTATTCATTTTCAGTAAATTTTTGTCACTTGTCCATTTCTACTTATTTCAGCTTTCTGATTATAAACAAAAGGGTACCAACAATGTTGTCTACAATAGTAACCCCATTTATTGTATTTTTTTTGTTACTAGATGTGAGAAAAATAAAGTCTGGTTTAAGAAAAAGTTGAAGTTTATATACACCAAGTAAAAAAAAAAGCAGGTTTATTCATGTTGTCTGAAGTTAATCAAACCCAACTTCTCTTGTTTTAGGTCAGAATTATCAAAACTTTGATTGCTGTGGAGATGAGGGGACGATATATTTGTTTATAACATACTTATAAACAAAGAATTGATCAAACAGAATTATAATAAAACTTACTTTAAAATTACTCAATAGTTTTCTGGCAATATTTGATTATCTTCGGTCAAAGTGACGTTGCTGTTCACCCTCCTAATTAGTTGGTGGCTCTAATTATCTCATTTGTTGTTTATCAACCGCCAATAAATACTCTTGGCGATATACACCTTGAAGTCCACCATTATATAAAAGAAGAACAATGTGTTAGCAGCTTCTTTTGCTTGAAGTCATTCTTGAGAGTCTGGTCATCTGTTGGCTGAATATGTGAGAGTTTGCAGTCAAATGTCTTCGTTTCAGCTTCAATTGAAGATCAACGACGTGCAGTTAACTCCTGCAGAAGAAAGATTCGCAGAGTTTAAAGAGATAGAGGCCGAGAACGAGATGGATGATCAGCGCAGACTGCTGGATTTCACTGGGTCACCTCAGGTCATCTTACACCGAAAAGGTACGAAACACCTGAGATTATAATGTTTTACTGAAGACGAAGGATGCATATGTAGTGGTTATAAAACTATTTCAAACAACAAAAAAGGAAAACAAGATCTACTGATCTGCGATCGATTATTCTGGTCTCTCAAGTTCAGCACTACAGGCAGATAACGGTACAGATACGGCAAAAGGTAGCCTAAGTTTAAAGAAGTTAAAAGAAATTTATTTTTCATTACTGTTACTTTTCTGTGTTACTTTTCTTTGTTGCTTTTCCGCCTATGTTTGTTTGTGGTTCTTGAAAAGTCTAACATTTTGAATCGAATGTTTTGAGTTTGTTGGTCGTTCGAGTCTCGATTGTTTTGTCTGTTGGAATGTAGAGGAACGTAACGGTTATGCTCCATTATAACACCGGACATGCAAAGAGTAACATTGTGTCCGTGTTTTCATTACTTTACCTATTCTTATGAGTTCGAATAGGTAAAGTTCGAACTCATAAGAAATTGCTCTAACACGATGTTTGTTTAATGAACAGAGAATGTTGTGGTGATTGTTATAGCGATGTTTGTTTAATTAACAGAGAGCGCTGCGGTGATTTTGATAACTAGTTTAAGAGCTGCTATGCTATACTTAGCTTCCTGGTTAACTGCGTAGGCTACTGTGTGTGTTCGATTTGTTTCACTGTGCCGGCATAACTAGAATGTGTGTAATGTTCAATGTTACAGAGTAATGTCTGAAACTGTTTTGAAATTATAACACCGGACATGCAAAGAGTAACATTGTGTCCGTGTTTTCATTACTCCCCTTTATAGAGACGTAACACATACTGTACGCTTAAGTATTTAAATTTGGAACAGTTAATAGGATGCAGTATTCTCATTTCCTGTCCGCTTTCAAAATAAAAGCATTTTGAGACGTTTCCCGATTTGCGTGATAATTTTTTTTCTAAAAATGCAATATTTATAAACACGTAAAGTCTTTGTGGTTATTCGGGACAGGTTTTCTCATTTCCTCATCCGTTTTCTACCTAAAAGCTTATATTTAAAACGTTAATTCATAAATTAGGGCCTTAATACTGCGATCAGCGGGCGGACTCCAGGTTTTGGGAGCTTTGGCGACACCTACTGGCTGTCCTGAAGCGCTGTTGTCAAAATTATGAACAAAGACGCATCGAATAGTTTTTCCACGTGTCCATGTTAAACAAGGTGGGATGTAAATATATTAAAAACACAAATTAATATGGTAAATATTTATATTGACTGATATGAAATGCTGATATTGTAATTTTTTACCTAGGTCTGTCATTTAACATAGGACATTTGAAGGGGCAGTATTATATAAAATAAAGATCATGGATCATGCTATTTTTAAATCATATTTGATACAATTTTATAACAACTGAAGGGAACAGTTGCTTCATTGTGATATAAAATGGCACTCTGTGTCCCTTTACAAGATTAGTTATTAAAAAAAAGACGGTGTAATTTGCTTTGTTGATAAAATGCTTTCAGTCATTAAAAATAAAATGGAGTGAATTCTACCAACCAATTTTCAAGTTTTTTCGTCATGTTTCTATGTTTAATAGTTGTCTTAACATTTGTCTTTGAAAAAATACTCTTGTGCAACATTTAACTATTTTCTGCTGGGATTTTTTTTATATACTGTTTTTCATCTTTAGTTGGGAAAAAACAGTAATATTGGAATAAAAGTAATATTTGAACGTTTTATATGGACCAGTTAATAAATTGGTTTCTAATTTTACGGGGATTTAATCTATATGAAGAAAAAGTTAAGAAATGTATCAGATTTTCTCCGTGTATTTTGTTATCTTCTACTTTCATCCGCTAGGGGGTGATAATGTGTTCACTCGCTGGAAAAAAAAATAAAAACACCAGTAGAAGAAGAGGCGGCGGACAGAAACAGATTGCTCCCCGTTGTATTCTCTGAATATGTGAATATTGTGAATTATGTCTTCAGTTCAGTCTCAGAGGAAGTTTATCAACCAGCAGTTAACTCCTGCTGAACAAACCGACCCCGGGTTTGAAGAAGTAATCGTGAAATCGGAGGACGAGCTCGATGATCAGTCCAGTCTGCTGGATTTCTCCCAAGAAGGTATTAAAATGAGCGATGCTAGCGTCTTTTCTCTGCTAAATTCTGAAGTCTGTGTGCGTTTTATTTTCTGGATCCCGACCCAGAGAGCCAGGGAGCTCATGAAGCTCCCCGGAAGTGAGCATCCAACATGGCTGCGCGCAAAATTGCGAACGTTGGAGCGATAAACTATATTTAAACACTCCTGACGGGTTGCATCTCAGGAAATCCGTATTTGACGCATACTACTGCGAAATATCTGCAAGTTAAATTGTTTATTTTGTGTTTAAATCTAGAAATGAAGAGAAAGTTATTTTCGACTTGTACTAGGAATTTTAGAAACCACCAAAATATGATTCCACCTCATTTATTTTACTTTAATCTAAAAGAGCCCTATGGGACATTAAGGGAACTTTTTTTTCGTTCGCAGTAAATCGCAATAAATTACATACACCATGGTCTATTTTGTATACAGACATGGTGATCAATGTCAATTCAACATTTCACATATGTACACCTTTAAAAATCCTCAATGAAAACATGTTTATACATTAACTATTTGCTGCAGAAAACTGGTTGAAAATTGATTTTACTGTTGTATTCATTTTTGTTTATCTAATATTGTATGTCAAAACTACTATTTCTTAATACAACCACAACTGTTAGATAATGACATTACCCTGTGAATAGAACTCAAGTAGTCAAAATAATTTTGATGTAGCTTATTTACTTTCTTACAGAAAGTTTGTCATGTTTATGTAGGAATGAAAATAACATATTTGACCTATTTTGCTCTGGTATTTTTCACATAAAGACAAAAATATGAAACTTTATAGAACTCAAACAAGATGTAAACATAGAATTTCTATATAGAAAAACAAGACATTGAAAAATTCAAGATACTTTATAATCTGAACACTAGCTGCATTATTGAGAGTTAACTCACAAGTATTGCATGAAAACACAATACTCTCTATGTACATTTCTTAACCTGCATCATGCAACAATAAAATTAGTTGCATATGATCTTGACGAACTTAGACGTGATCAAATAAAATTTAAGTCAGTCAGATTTTTTTGTTGATTACTGTTCTCCTCAATGAGCAGAGTGCTATAAAACTTTACCTCTGGAGTCTGTAATTCCAGCCTCTAGTGCTGCTGTCCTCAAACTTTTGGGTGCAGCCCTTTTCCAATGCACCCAAATCAAATGAGTTAACAACCAGGCCTTTGAAAAACTTCTGGCAACATTGAAGTATTTCAGCCTTTTGATTCAGGAGTGCTGCAGGACTTAAGTTGTAGACCCCTGCTTTGTAAACGTCACTTTCAAAAGAGCATTATGCTAAAAACAGTGAAATATTTTATCCTTTAGTTTTCAACCCAAGAAAACAGAGGTAATAAGACACACACTGCTGCAAAATCACCACCTAACTTTAGTGTTAGCTGGAATTTTATTAGAGGGAGTTTAAGACCAGGAACTGAGCCAGGTTTTTTCTGTTCGACCCTCCAGATGTCCACCAGGATGACGTTTGGAAAGAGGAGGCGCTCGCTGACCAGGAGAGGAGCTCCAGTTTTGATGAAGAGGATCCAGAACCTCTGCAGATTAAAGAGGAGAAGGTTGAGTTTGGACATCTGCAGATAAAAGAGGAAGATATGGAGCTCCTCGTCAGTCAAGATGAAGAGCAGCTTGAGCTGAAGGAGGAGTCTGACACCTTCATGGTGACGCCTACTGATGAGGAAAGCTTTCACACCGAACCAGAACCAAACTGGTACCCGCTTGACTCTCAGGACTCCCTGAAAGTGACAACCAGGATCAGGAAGGAAGCATTTCAGAAGACTGGGGGTCAAAGAGTGATGAAGAGCAAATGCTAAATGAGCAGGATCAGGAAACGAGACAATATAATCAGTATTCTAAGAACTCAAATCAAGAAGGGCACAGTGCTCACAAAGAAAAGAAACAATATTCTTGCAAAATGTGTGATAAAAGCTTTTCCCAGAATAATAACCTAACGATACACATGAGAAGTCACACCGGGGAGAGGCCTTTCTCGTGCGAGACATGTGGCAAAGGTTTTACAACAAAATCGAATTTAACCCTTCACTTGAGAACTCACACAGGTGAGAAGCCTTTTCCGTGCATGACCTGTGGAAAAAGCTTCAGTCTAAAATGTATTCTAACTGAGCACATCAGAACTCACACCGGTGAGAAACCCTTCCCATGTCTGGCCTGTGAGAAAAGTTTCCCATCCAAAAACCATTTGAATAAGCATTTGAGAATTCACACTGGTGAGAGGCCATTCTCGTGTATCACCTGTGGGAAAAGGTTCAGTCTGAAGTGTAATTTAACTGAACATATGAGGACTCACACTGGTGAGAAGCCTTTTCAGTGTTTGGCTTGTGACAAAAGTTTTAACTCTAAAAACCATTTGAATAAACACCTGAGAGTCCACACAGGTGAGAGGCCTTTCTCCTGTGTGATCTGTGGAAAAAGGTTCGCTCAGAAAAGTTGTTTAACGGATCACATGAGAACTCACACGGGGGAGAAACCTTTTCTTTGTGATATGTGTCAGAAAGCCTTCAGCCTGAGGAGTAGCTTGAATAACCACATGAGAACCCATACAGGTGACAAGCCTTTCTCATGTGACACCTGTGAAAGAACGTTCACGTTAAAGAGTCGTCTGAATAGACACATGAGGTCTCACACAGGGGAGAAACCGTTTACATGTAATGCATGTACTAAAACCTACAGCCTAAAGAGTAGTTTGACCAAACACATGAAGACTCACATCTGCTAGGAGCATTTCTTCTGTAGGCCTATACAGTGTAGAGATAAAGATGTTAGTAACCACTAACATGAAAGCTCATATTTTAATGTGATATGGAAATAGTGACTGTTCACTATGACTGGACTTAAACTTTATTATTAAATTTTGTGGTGCCGTTGTGATAATTATAAAAGTGACAAGAACTATTTATTACATCTTTTTTAGGTAACTTTATGACTACGACTGCTCTTGAAAAACATTCCCATTTGTAATGCGCTTCTTTAGGAAAAATACTAGTTTTGTAAAGAAGTCTAATTTATATCACTTCTTGAATATTCAAATGTAATGATATTTATTGATGTTTTTGTTGAACAACCAGTGGAGAAAATAGTAAAACTATCAACTCTGATAATAATGACTCTTCTAGGGATTTTTAAATATCACTAATTGGAGTTCATAATAGCAACAATAAATCAAAATTCTTATGTAGTGTTCACTTTAAATTTTGCAAATAAGAATGTGCAATGTGAGTTTTACTACTTCCTTGTATATAATGGGGACATAAAGCTAATTATTAAATAATCTAAAGTCAAATAAGGCCAATGGATTAAGAAAAAACAGATCAAAATAGTTGTCATTTCTTCCAAAGGCAAAATTATTGCCAAATCCTCAGTCTGTTCAGTATTATTAAACACATTAAGCTCAGGGGATTTACATATAAATTATTTCTCATAAAATCAAATGTTGGCCTAAAGTCTGGCTTTTTCACTTTTTCAATTCAAATTCAAAAGATACTTTATTGATCCCAAATAGAAATTAGATGTTGCTGCAATTCATCAATTAAAGGTTCTTCAAAAAATTATTGTACATTTTTATACATCCATTTGGGTCTCTACTGATTCTAGAAAGACTCCACGTGTTTAAAAAAGAACAAAGAGTTAATATTTTTTGGTGTCTAGACAGCAAACAGTTTCAAAAACCTTTTGTAATATAATGTTACATAGCAACAGGCATTGCCTTGTTACAAAGCTCGAGCATGTTTGGTCAGCTGGTTTTGCTGTATGTGCTGTACAATGGCTGCTGGAAAAGGCAAGAGGCCCTAAAACAGCTCATTCTGAAAGGAGCTCAAAATAGTCAGAACTGACTAAATCTGTGTCTGAGAATTATTCTGGGTGAAAAATGTTATGAAGGTGTTTTGTGTAGCCCACAGTCCTAACTCATTCAAGGAACCATAACAACCATAACACCATAACAATTAAGATGGCCTTCCTGCTCCTCCTCTTACAGATTATAGATTTCCTTCCCAAAAATCAGTTGCAGTGAAAAGCCACCATGTTTGTGTTTGTCTTTTCATTCATTGCAAATATTGACTCCAGACGATGAGTTGTCCATTCAGCTACTGCAGATAAAAAATATATATATATCATTATATCGTGCTGTTATTTTCTAAATATTTGTATGTATGACTGACTTCTGGGTGAAAACTGATTTGATGCAGTTTCTCATTGACTTTAAAAGAAAATCAAATTTTCTCCAGCATTAAATTTTATTTAAAATTTATTGCAGGCATAGGTTGTCAAGCAAATAAATATGCCGCAGCTGCATACTGTCTACTTCACAGAAGATTGACCTTAAAATTTCCAATGTTCCACCTGTGGAAAAAGCTTCAGGCAAAAGATTCATTTAATTGAACACATGAGAAGTCACACAGGAGAGAAGCCTTTTCAGTCTATTTCAGCATTAAATGTAGTTTGAATAAACACATGAAACTGCATGCAAGCTAGATGCCTTACTCTGTTGCATCCTGAACGTGTAACATTTTTACATGAGCTGTATTTTGACAAAACTTTGAGGTATAATCATGAGTGATTCTTGTTAAATTCTCAGCTGGAGTCTTTCAGCTCATCCTTTCACTTCATGATCAAACCATGTTCTTTATGCCTCAAAATCAATTATAACATTCTGCCACAGAATAAGGACTTAAAGTCATCCCAGAGTCTGCAGCATAGCTTGACCAAACACTTTGTCTTATCTGAGAAATATGATCCTCTGCAAGATCTGATGGAGGTTTTTAACTTGTAGAGGATGGAACATGCCGACTTTTCCTGTATTTACAACACTGCATGGATTTAAAAAAGCCAGTATTGGGTCACATATAAACTCTAACAATTTCCTTCGTCTCCCAAGTTGTTCCGAGACGAATGCTATATTTTTTACTTGCAATCACCAAATATGTTGTGCTCAACATAAAGGGGCCAAAGTGAGATGTGAAAGAACAAAGTGATCCATTTATATTTTCTGGTTGTTTATTGCAGAACAACCACAAAATACCAAATATTCCTTGAGAAATGTTTATATTTAACTAACGATGGGAATCAAACTGACTGATAAACTAGCGCAGATTTCTCTGCAGATGCGACCAGGAGGAATTTGTGAGGCTCTGTGTTCAGACTCCGGCGGCAGCAGGTAAAATTTAAGTGGAGTCATTTAATTGAATTGATCATAAATATTTGGCTTCAGACAGTGGTTTGTGTCACTACGGAGAGAAACTTAGATGCATTCATCTGCTTCATATGTGACAGACTCTGGATTCACGATTGAACTAAGAATATTATCTAAACCGCATAAAAATTCAGTTAAATAGCCTATGGTGGTATGATTATAATTTGATGGGTAAAAACAGTTTTTAAAGCTGATGAAGGATGTGGAGGCCAAGTTAACGTGAAGTAATATTCAGTTATTGTTAAAACATTTTGTTTAATATGTAATTTAATAAGTGAATTTATTGAAGTTTAGGAAGAATTATTAGTACTGCATGTAGCTAATTTTGTAATGTTTTGTTGTCAGTGAGTGTTTTATTTTAAGTTGTATGTTTATAGTTTAAGTGTCCATTTCGCAATTTATGCAAATGAGGTGTGGACGCTGTAGCGTTAAGGAGGAAGAAAGGAAAGGCGCTGCTAGTTTATCTACAGAGCCACACGGTTTTTCAACCGTAGTTGTTTGTGAAGGTTAGATAAAATACAACTGCTCTTGTAAAGGATATCTCACAAAAACTGTGGAATAAATTTTTGTTTTGCATCCTTATTTCGGAGCGCTGTGGAAGTTTTTATTTTCCTCTACAAACACGCGAGTGGATACTGCAAAGAAACCTTGTGGCAACACAAAGGATAACATAAAAGTCTAGCACAACCTCTGATTGATTGTGTGGTGTCTTCTATGACTTTGTGTTTTATGATATAATGCACTTCAACTTTCCTTGTTGCAATAAAAATAAACTTGATTGAATGATGATCTCACATTTCATGTTTCTCAGAGAACGTCTCGGTTCGCAGTGGTTCGGACCGGAGACACACGTAGTGTATATCAGGATAATAAAGCGGCAGGTATTTGCACAGGTTTAAAGTCAAAAACAGAAAATGAGAAACCCACTGTGATGATAAATGGCGTTTATTACATAAAAATTACAAATACAATGTTCTATTTACAGGCGTTTTTGTATCAGAAAAAGTATTTTTCAATTTGAATATAAGCTTGGTGAAGAAAGCAGATTGGGTGACGCTGTCCAACTAGTCTAAGCTTGGTTTCACTGATACGTGCAGCCGCCCACGACACCTTTAAACGAGTCACAATCCACAGCTAAACTTAAAGAAAACCATCACAATGGGAAATTTATTTCTGTTATTGTGTTTTTAATCACATAAAACACTTAGAACTGCATTGTTTTTTTTTAAAACACTATATTTATAGGAATCATTCATACATTTGTTATATTCTTAATAGGGATAGAAATACAATTCACACACATACAGTCTAAATTTGCATGGGTTCCAATGACACACATATATTTGTATCTGAATAAACATTTCATTCAAACATTTAGGTCAGGAACAAATTACCAAACGGATAAATCAATGAATCATAAGAAGACAGAGAAAAGGAGAAAACACACACATGCTTTCAAAACTATACTTCAGAAACCAATTACACTTCCACACAATGACAAATTTCTTTAATCTTATTTACCAGCATCTCATATACAGTATCTTATATTAATTTTCTTCACCTGAGTCTTCACCTGTGTGAGCTCTCATGTGAATAGAGAAACTTTCTCGATGTGTGAAACATTTTCTGCAACTAATACATCAGAAAGGATCCTCACCTATGTGATTCCTCAAATGGAAATCTAAACTACATTTTTGAGTGAAACTTTTTCCACAAGTCATACATGTATAAGGCTTCTCCCCTGTGTGCATTCTCATGTGACAAGTTAATTGACATTTCTGTGTGAAACGATTTCCACACGTTGTACATATGAAAGGCTTCTCACCTGTGTGAATTCTCATGTGACAAGCTAAATGACTTTGCATTGTGAAACTCTTCCCACAACTTTTACATGTGAAAGGCTTCTCACCAGTGTGAATCCTCATGTGAGTAGCTAAATGACTTTTCCGAGTGAAACTCTTTCCACAATTAATACATGTGAAAGGTTTCTCACCTGTGTGAATCCTGATGTGGTTAGCTAAAAGTCTTTTTAGAGTGAAACTCTTTCCACAACTAATACATGTAAAAGGCTTCTCACCTGTGTGAATCCGCATGTGAGTGACTAAATAACTTTTCCGAGTGAAACTATTCCCACAACTAATACATGTGAAAGGCTTTTCACCTGTGTGAATCCGCATGTGAGTAGCTAAATAACTTTTCCGAGTGAAACTATTCCCACAACTAATACATGTGAAAGGCTTCTCACCTGTATGAATTCTCATGTGAAAAGTTAAATTTTGTCTATCCATAAAACTTTTTCCACACGTCACACATGTGAAAGGTTTCTCACCTGTGTGAATCCTCATATGTCTTTTCAAGGAGTTGTTTCGAGAAAAGATTTTTTCACAAATTTTACAGAGATATGTATATTTTTTTAGGTGAGATTTTCTATGTTTTGGATGTTCAGTAGTTCCATTTTGTTGTTTGTTTTTCTGACATCTCTGGGTTTGTGTCTGCTCTTTGTCTTTATTTTCTCCTGGGTTTCCAGAATTGCTTCCTTCCTGATTCTGGTTCTCATCTTCAGAAGAAGCATGAGAGATGAGTTGGTTCCTGTTTGGTTCTGTTTCATTGTTGATTCTTTGCTCAATAGAAGGAGTCACCAAAATGTCTCCAGTCTCCTGTTTCAGCACAAGTTGCTCTTCATCCTGACTGATGCAGAGTTGATTCTCTTCCTTTTTGACTTGTTTATCTTCTAGTTTCTTCTTAGTTAAATTGGACTTCCTCTTCTGGTTGCTGAGCTCTTTGAGAACCTCCTCTTTACACACACAACGTTGTGGTCGATCTGGACAAACAGACAAAACAAAAGCTTATAAATTTAAGTAAAAAACAAACTCCACTTTAATTAGGTACTTTTTCACTCAGGAATAAGAGAGAAATCATGCTGATCATGGAAAATGGCCTTACTTCATCATCAAACGTCTTTCTAAAATTATTTTTTTTCCAAAAGCAAAATGACTGTTAAAGTTTCTTAATTGTCCTTTCCACTGATACCCACTTTATGTATATTGAAGCAAATAAAACACTTAAATTTTTCAGAAGTTTTCAGAATTTATTTTGAAAAATCTGCTTAGAAGCCGTTATTTGTGCTATTTATGCTAATTCCTACATATTTGTATCTGAATAAACATTTCATTTAAACATTTAGGTCAGGAACAAATGACCAAACGGATAAACCAATCAATAGTTTATTTGAAAAGTTTTGTTGGCTCTAGTGGCCTTTATTTGAAAGTAGTTTGACAGGAAAGTGGGTTGTGAGAGAGGGGGAGAACATGCAGCAAATGTCACCAGGCCGGGAATCGAACCTGCGGCCACCAACATGAGGACTAAGGCCTCAACAACATGGGTTGTGCTTTTCCACTGCGCCACCACGGCACCCCAAAACCAATCAATCATAAGACGAATGAGAAAAGAAGGAGAAAACACAATCGCTTTCAAAACAATACTTCAATACTTCAAAACAATAGGAACCAATTACACTTTCACACACCAACAATTTTCTTTAATCATATTTACCAGTGTCACACGTCTTATATTAACTTTCTTCATCGATGAGTTTTCACCTGTGTGGGTTCTCATGTGAATATAAAAACTTTTTCCATGGGTGAAACATTTTCTGCAACTAATGCATCAGAAACTATTACCATGTGAATCCTGAAGTGGATATCTAAACTACATTTTTGAGTGAAACTTTTTCAAAAGGTCACACATACAGAAAGAAATTCTGTCGGAAATTCCGTAAAAAACAAACAAACCAGGAAATCCATAAAAAAAAATTCCAGTGGTCATCATCAATATCTTCAAGGCACAAGGAGCAAAGTGTTTTTTTTTCCACTGCACAAATGTTTGACAGCGATTTTGTTAAATTTGAAGACAAAGGGAAGAGTTATGGAGGGGCAACTTCACTCAGGTGTAATTACAGAATAAAAGTTACAGAGCAACTTGATACTTGAGTTTCATATTAAACAGTCTAACCACTGTGATTTCTCATATGAATGATAAACTATTTCTATGAGTGAAACTTTTAAAACAAGTAATAGATGAGAGAGGCTTCTCACCTGTGTGAATCCTCATGTGGGAAGTTGACATACATTCGTGAGTGAAACTCCTTCCACAACTAACTCATGTGAAAGACTTCTCACCCATGTTGAGTCTTCAAGTGGATATCTAAGCTACGTTTTTGAGAGAAACCTTTGCCACAAATCAAACAGGAAAAAGGCTTCTCCCCTGTGTGAATCCTCAAGTGGATATCTAAACTACATTTTTGAATGAAACTTTTGCCACAAGTCATACAGGAAAAAGGCTTCTCACCTCTGTGAATCCTCAAGTGGATATCTAAACTACATTTTTGAGTGAAACGTTTGCCACAAGTCATACATGGAAAAGGCTTCTCACCTATGTGAGTCCTCAAGTGGAGATCTAAACTACATTTTTGATTGAAACTTTTTCCACAAGTCACACATGTGAAAGGCTTCTCATTTGTGTGAATTCTCATGTGAGTCATTAAACTGCTTTTCAGAGTGAAACTTTTCCCACAAGTCATACATGTAAAAGGCTTCTCCCCTGTGTGAATTCTCATGTGACAAGTTAAATGACATTTCTGTGAGAAACGTTTTTCACAAGTTGTGCATGTGAAAGGCTTCTCACCTGTGTGAATTCTCATGTGAATATCTAAACTACTCTTCAATGTGAAACCTTTTCTACAAGTCATACAGGTGAAAGGCTTCTCCCCTGTGTGAACCCACATGTGAGAAGTTAAACTTCTTCTGTCAGTAAAACGTTTTTCACAACTAATACATGTAAAAGGCTTCTCACCTGTGTGAATCCTTATGTGAGTGTTTAAATAAATTTTTTTTGTGAAACTTTTTCCACAAGTCATACAGGTGAAAGGCTTCTCACCTGTGTGAATTTTTGCATGACTCGTCAAGGAGTCTTTTCGAGAAAAGCTTTGATCACAAACTTTGCAGTGATATAATTTTTTTTCCAGGTGAGATTTTTTGTGCTTTATTTGCTTTGGACCTTCAGTAGTTCCTTCTTTCTGATTGTTTTTCTGACATCTCTTGTTTTGTTTCTGCTCTTTGTCTTTCTTTTCTCCTGGGTTTCCAGAATTGCTTCCTTCCTGATCCTGGTTCTCAACTTCAGGAGAAGCATGAGAGACGAGTTGGTTCCTGTTTGGTTCTGTTTCATTGTTGATTATTTGCTCAATAGAAGGAGTCACCAAAATGTCTTCAGTCTCCTGTTTCAGCACAAACTGCTCTTCATCCTGACTGATGCAGAGTTGATTCTCTTCCTCTCTGAACTGTTGATGTTCTGGTTTTATTTTAAAAGGTTCTGGTTCCTCTTGTTCCAGTTTTATCGGGACAGGTTCTGGTTCGTCTTGTTCCAGTTTTATCAGGAGAGGTTCTGGTTCCTCTTGTTCCAGTTTTATCGGGACAGGTTCTGGTTCGTCTTGTTCCAGTTTTATCATGAGAGGTTCTGGTTCCTCTTGCTCCAGTTTTATTTTAAATGTTTCTGGGTCCTCTTGCTCCACTGTTATCGGGACAGGTTCTGGTTCCTCCTTCCTGTTCCTGGGTTCTTTGAGAATCTCTTCCTCTGTCAACACACGGCATCGTGGGCAATCTGGACAAACAGACAAAACAAAAGCTTATAAATGCAAGTAAAACACAGAGTCTTCACTTGAATCTTTTGGTTCATCTAAATGGGCTTTATTTTTTAATTACGTTTTGTGTCCGGAATATTGATTATTTTATTTTGAACCACCCAAAACGTCCGTCACTGATTCGGTGGGTTGATCAAACTAAGTCATGGAATGGAACTGATCTGTTTCAAGTTTTTATTGTTGTGATCTTTTAGTATTTAGTTTCATGCCCATTCCGGCGTCGGTCCCAAACAACTGTCTTTAACTTGTCTCTAATGATTAGGACGGTTCAGTGGTTCCTACCGATTCGGTGTAAGATGATCTGGGGAGTCCGCCTGCAGCCCAGCAGTCTGCGCTGATCATCCATCTCTTCCTCCGATTTGACGATGATTTCTTTAAACTCCGTTAATGTTTCTTCAGCAGCAGTGAACTGCTCGCTGATTAACTCTGTCTGACGCTGAACTGAAGACATTTTTACTGCAAACACTCTATTCACTCCAAATACCAAACGCGTCTCCAAACTTCATTCTAACAGAAGGGAAGCTAACGCTGCTATTTGTCCTGGTATTATTTCCTGTTTCATTGTAGCTCCACTAAAGAAACGGTGAACGACTATTTATGGCTCAATCGAAGATAATGCTGTTGTAATCACTCAAATATTCCTACAAAACACCAAAACTCTTCATCAAAATGCCTTCTGGCAGAAGAACAGCTATCGCTGCTATCCGCGCTGTTTTTGTTTCCTGTGTGCTTCACTGTGGCTCCACGGAGGAAACTGTGAACGACTTTTAGTTCCGCTTTGAATTTTCAAACTCTCCTTGATCCACCTTTTTTAACAGTGATATTAAATAAATTACAACGTAAGAATTTTCTTTTTCAGAATCCCAATTTACTAACTGACACACTACATAGGTTAAAATACTAAATAATAATATTTTAAAGTCTTTCCTTCTCCTTACCATGTTACAATCACTCCTTACCTGCTGCTGGTCTATATTTGCTCCCTGACATTGCTCTTTCTATTGTGACAATATGATTTATTTTAAATATGTGAAAAGCATCGTGACAAAAAAAACTTTTGTACAAAAATGAGGGATGTAATATGAAAATATGAAACATGCTTACTTTGAGTTGTACATGGAGGTGGCAGGGACTGGCTGCTAGCTGCAGAACACCAGGTGCTCTTCTTCATGTGTTGACATTGACAGAAGATTCTTGAGCCAGACAAGAGACAATGAGAACACCAGGAAGCGTCACCTGGGAGGACTGACAGGTTATGCACTCAAGTGGATTGAAGATGCCAGACAAGGAGACAGGTTTAAGCATTTATTATGGAGACAAATTCTTCAACGAGGGAATCAGAATAGCTCAGATGTGGACACAAAACAAGCGGAGCATTGCAGAAACAGAGAACATCCAGAGTGTCAAGGTTCAAAAAAAAAGGAGACTTGAGAAACACAGAGCACCAGTCCTTCAAATACAGCAGTTGAGAAGTGATAATGATCCGATGAAGGCTGGGGAGACGCACGTAGTGTAAATCAGGCAGCAGGTATTTGCACAAGTTTAAAGTAAAAAAACTTCTGCTACAAAATAAGACCATCTGAATATTAAATGGAGTTTATTACATAAAAATTAAAAATACAATGTTTTATTTACAGACATTTTTGTATCAGAAAAAGTATTTTTCAATTTGAATACAATCTTGGTGAATAAAGCAGATGGTGTGCAACTAGTCTAAGCTTCGTTTCACTGATTCTCATTCACCCACTACACCTTTTAGTGAGTCACAATCCACAGCTAAACTGGAAAAAGAAAACCGTCAAAATGAGAAATTTGCATTATTACATAAAAACCACAGAATCTGGCATTCACTCCTATTCAGGATTTCTTTCCTCAATCAGAAACATTTGTGCTGCACTGTAAAAAAAAAAAATCTGTAATAGAATGGGTAAATGTACAGTAAAAATTTGAAGGAATTTTCCGTTTTTATTTTTAACAGGTATTTGTACTGTATTCTCAATTTTATGCATTGCATCATGGGAACAAGAACATTTGCAAAGGGCAAAAACTGGTAAGATGACAATTCAAGCTCTCAGTAACTGGACGTTGAGACATCTTTCTTTTGGACTTTGGTTGGATTAAAAGTAGGCTTAACCTTCTTTTTTGCAGAACATAAAACGGATTGTTTTATGTTCACAGCGGCGAGAGGTAATGAGAGCACACACTCCTCAATCCAGTGTCTTCCACTGCCATTGGCATTAGGCTGTGGTCATGCAGGATTTGATTTTTAACTAAATATTTAAACCCGTATGTCTCAAAGAATAGTGGTTGACATTCAGCATTTATTTTACAACCATGTTTACAACCATGATTTTCATGTTCCAAAGCAAATTGTTTTATGTCCCATATTATAGTAACTTAATAAAATTGTTTATTTGACTTCAAAAACTAGAGTCAAGACTGCTGTAAATTTAATTGATACATTGAAAATTTGTATAGTAAAATGCAATAAATTAGTTTTGATGTACAAAAGATAAATTTTAGTAAGCTCAAGAATATGTTTTGCTATTAATATGTAGTAGCATATGTTATTTTTAAAGACTCTAGATGATGTGACAATTTATGCTCTTAAATTGCAAAATAAAATCTGCAAATTATTTGTACAATAGTTTTATTTTTTATATCACTGCATGAATTACTTTCAAGTGTTTTGTGGTCTAGAACTACATTTCTTTTGGATTTAAAGTTTAGTTTTGTTTCAAAATTATTTTAAGAATACATTAAACACATTAACCTTAATGTATTTCAAAGTTTAATTAATACGTGGTATAGAATACAGACTTCAATGGTTTGGAAGACAAAAATATTTGAAAATGTGCAAGGTTTGTGAATATATCAGAACTGTAAAAACACAGATAATTTAAATTTTGGCAAAACAGAAATGTTGGAACATTTAAACATTATGCAGGAAACATTTTGATGGAAATTCCATTAAAAAACCCCAAACCATATTCTTGTAATTTTCTCCCACATTTACTGTTTTTTTACGGAATTCCTGGCAGAATTTTTTTCATAATTTAAAAATTTTCTGAAAACGTAAAAAAATTTTTAAATCACAAAGAAAAAATCCTGTTGGAAATTCTGTAAAAAAACAAAACAAAAAAGAAAACAGTAAATCCATAAAAGAAATTCCAGAGGTCATCATCAATATCTTCAAGGCACAAGAAGCAGTGATTTTTTTTTTTCACTGCACAAATGTTTGACAGCGATTTTGTTAAATTTGAAGACAAAGGGAAGAGTTATGGAGGGGCAACTTCACTCAGGTGTAATTACAGAATAAAAGTTACAGAGCAACTTGATACTTGAGTTTCATATTAAACAGTCTAACCACTGTGATTTCTCATATGAATAATAAACTATTTTCATGAGTGAAACTTTTAAAACAACTAATAGATGAGAGAGGCTTCTCACCTGTTTGAATCCTCATGTGGAAAGTTGACATACATTCGTGAGTGAAACTCCTTCCACAACTAACTCATGTGAAAGACTTCTCACCCATGTTGAGTCTTCAAGTGGATATCTAAACTTTGTTTTTGAGTGAAACCTTTGCCACAAATCACACAGGAAAAAGGCTTCTCACCTGTGTGACTCCTCATATGAATAGTTAAACGTTTTTTTCCGTAAACCTTTTTCCACATGTCATACAGGTGAAAGGCTTCTCACCTGTGTGATTCCTCATGTGAATAGTTAAACGTTTTCTTTCCGTAAAACTTTTTCCACATGTCATACAGGTGAAAGGCTTCTCACCTGTGTGAAGCCTAATATGAATAGTTAAACTTTTTTTTTCTATGAAACTTTTTCCACATGTCAAACATGTGAAAGGCTTCTCACCTGTGTGAAGCATCATGTGAACAGTTAAGCCTTTTCGCTCCGTAAAACTTTTTCCACATTTTATACAGGTGAAAGGCTTCTCCCCTGTGTGACTCCTCATGTGAGTAGTTAAACTTACTTTTGCCGTAAAACTTTTTCCACATGTCATACATTTGAAAGGTTTCTCACCTGTGTGAACCCTCATGTGGGTAGTTAAACTAAATTTTTTAGTGAAACTCTTCCCACAAGTAATACATGTGAAAGGTTTCTCACCTGTGTGAATCTTCATGTGAGAAGTTAATATACCTTTCTCAGCGAAACTTTTTCCACAACTAATACATGTGAAAGGTTTCTCACCTGTGTGAACCCTCATGTGGGTAGTTAAACAAATTTTTTTAGTGAAACTCTTTCCACAACTAATACATGTGAAAGGTTTCTCACCTGTGTGAATTCTCATGTGTATCATCAATTTGCTGTTTCGAGAATAGCTTTTATCACAAACTTTGCAGTGATATAATTTTTTTTCCAGGTGAGATTTTTTGTCCTGTTTTTGTTTTGGACGTTCAGTAGTTCCTTCTTTCTGTTTGTTTTTCTGACATCTCTTGTTTTGTGTCTGCTCTTTGTCTTTCTTTTCTCCTGGATCTCCAGAATTGCTTCCTTCGTGATCCTGGTTCTCATCTTCAGGAGAAGCATGAGAGACGAGTTGGTTCCTGTTTGGTTCTGTTTCATTATTGATTCTTTGCTCAATAGAAGGACTCACCAAAATGTCTTCAGTCTCCTGTTTCAGCACAAACTGCTCTTCATCCTGACTGATGCAGAGTTGATTCTCTTCCTCTCTGAACTGTTGATGTTCTGGTTCCTCTTGCTCTAGTTTTATTTTGAAAGGTTCTGGTTCCTCTTGTTCCAATTTTATTGGGACAGGGTCTGGTTCCTCTTGCTCCAGTTTTACTTTGAAAGGTTCTGGTTCCTCTTGTTCCAGTTTTACTTTAAAAGGTTCTGGTTCCTCTTGTTCCAGTTTTATCTGGACAGGTTCTGGTTCCTCTTGCTCCAGTTTTATTTTAAAAGGTTCTGGCTCCTCTTGCTCCAGTTTTATCTGGACAGGTTCTGGTTCCTCTTGCTCCAGTTTTATTTTAAAAGGTTCTGGTTCCTCCTTCTTCTTGCTGGACTCTTTGAGAATCTCTTCCTCTTTACACACACAGCATTGTGGGAAGTCTGGAAACAGACAAAACAAAAGCTTATAACTTTAAGTGGAACATAAACATTTCACATTAATTTTAATCCTTTTTCATGTTCTGCAAATACATACTAAGCTTTGTCCTCTGATTTTGGAGAGATGTTGTCAGTAACTCATAGATTAAAAGAACAATGTTCATTTCACTCAACCATACACCTGTAAAGAGTAAAATCAGAGAAATGGATAATTCTGCCACAGTGTCTTAATTTTTCCAGAGTTGTATATTGCATTCTTCCAGAGAAAAAAAATCTGTTTTAAATGTTGTTACAGCCCGTCTCAAAGAACATGTTAGCTTGGCAGCCTGGCTTTTTCTCAATCAAAAATACATTTAAAAATTATTCAAAATCAAATTTGATAAATATCAAGCAGGCCAATATTTGTCTGCTTAATATTTGTGAACAGACAAATATTAAGCCTTAACTTTATTGATCACTTTAAGGCTGTTATAGAAATGTGCTCCAAGTCCAAACTGAAACTCGTTATATGTCCAAAACAATACTACAATAACGAAACGTGCAACATTATGTCACAACAAAGTACTAAGACCTCCATAGAAAAGGAAATGTACTTTGCCTAATTTTTCACTACCTTCAGCTTCTTTCATCTACTTTAGTTCAAAAACTACAGAACCCAGACTCTTCAAGCCTGGATTAGATTATTGGCAACTAATATCAGAATATCTAAAACCAAGTTTGACATTTGTGAATCTTTAATAAAGAACAATTTCACCTAATTGTATCTACCTTGAGCATATTTTAATTGCCTTACTTTTCACACCTTGCTGTTGTTGGACACAACAGCAAAATAATGAAAATGTCAGGATTAATTCAGTTCTTATTGAGTCCAGATGCATAAAAAGGGCTGAAATGGTCCTTTATTGAAGTTTCACAAATCATATAAAGGTTTCACAAATCCTAAACTTAGTTTTAAATATTCTCCCATTACTTGAGAATACTCTAGCCAACGTTTGAAGAGTCTCGGCGTTGTAGTTTTAAAACTATAGTAAAGATGCTGAATGTGGTGAAAAATTAGGTGGAATCGCCCTTTAGCCATTTCGCAAATCAGGGGCTGCAATCGAAAACCAACTTCAGCTTCAAAAACAACTTTGCTTAACTGAAAACTTTATTTAAACTTTTTCCAACTCTCAGCTGTATCATCAGTAAAGCTGTTTCCTACCTATTCGGTGTAAGATGATCAGGGGAATCCGGGATAAATCAAGCAGTCTGCGCTGATCCTCCATCTCTTCCTCCGACTGGACGATGATTTTATCAAACTCCGTTAAAGTTTCTTCAGCAGCAGTTAACTGCTCGTTTATTAACTCTCTCTGGGACTAAAGTGAAGACAGAGTTCCGACAAACACTCAAATATATTATAAAATACACCAAACCCGTCTTCAAGCTACATTAAACCTGAAGAAAAGCTAACAGCTGTCTGTGCTGTTTTCATTTCATGTGTGTTTCACGGAGGCTCCACTGAAGAAACACGAAACCGACTTTTAGTTCCGACTTGAATTTCCTAATTCCCTCTGAATGTGGAACAGACTACATACAATGAAACAGTATTTCCCAATCTGGTCCTCAGTGCTCGCTGCCCTGTATGTTTTAGACGTTTGAATATAATAATTAAAACTTCTCAATGTTTGACATTGTCTAGCTAAATGTTTTTACATCAGGCTGCATAGCTGCTACACGGATTAGCTGCTCTATGCTGTAGTTGTTTGCTGCTGAGCATAATGGTGGCTAAAACAAACATTATTTTTACATCAACTTCTAAGTTATGTGAAACGTCCATTAAGATAATTTGAAGGCTCAGAAATCAACTGGTCAATAAATCAGTTGGCTACTAAATGCATCCTATTATACATGTATATAATGTAAACAGCACTGCCAGAGACGCAATAAGTTTATAGCAGGTGTGTGAATGACCTAATGATCAGAGTGCAGATTGCAGTCAGTCCACATTGTCAGCAGAACTGGAGGTGCCAAAACCAGGTTTTGCTTTGGGCCGGCCCTGCATTTTTGTATCAGAAAAAGTATTTTTCAATTTGAATATAAGCTTGGTGAATAAAGCAGATGGTGTCCAACTAGTCTATGCTTGGTTTCACTGATACATGCAGCCACCCACTACACCTTTAAATGAGTCACAATCCACAGCTAAACTGAAAAAAAGAAAACCATCACAATGGGAAATTGACTTTATTACATAAGAACCACAAAATCTGGCATTCACTCTGATTCAGTATTTTGACCTTGAATCAGAAACACACAAAATAATAATTAAGATGAAATACATACACACATCTTTATGAATTACTTTGATAAAATTAATTTCTCTTGGGTGCAACTCTTAACAGCTAAAAATGTTATTTATACTGGTGAGTATTTTTTGTCAGAGAATGTAGACCAGGGCTTCACAGATTATGTGTCTTCAAATAATTTGAACAGCTTCTGGAGAAGCTAATGTAAAAATAATTGTTTTTGCCACATAAATGTTCATCTTGTTCATCAGCAAACAACTACAGCAAAGAGCAGCTCATTGATATGTTAATGCAGCCGTGTAGCCTGATACTGCAGAAATGTCTAAACATTATCTAGAAACTTCTTTAATGGAAAAACACATCTTGCAGAAATACAAAACACAGCAGATAAAATCAGTAAATAAATGGCAAAAAGTATCATCAGTTCCATCAAAGATGAAATAAAGCTAAAAACAAAATTTTCTATTACGACAGCAGGAATTTGCTTATACTATTATGTCACTCAGAATCCACTGCTAAACTGAAAGAAAACCATCTTGTTGGTAAATTGAGTTTATTTCATGAGAATTACAAATATAATGTTTTTCACTTCAATTTTTGAATCACAAATTGAATTTACATCAATACATTTTCTAACATGTTAAAAAATAAAAACCTTTTCAAACAAAACTGTGTCAAAAACAAACATACAATTTAGAGTACTTTTTAGAAGAATTATATGAAGATATTATTAAAAAAAAGTAAGTAATTCAGTTCTATTTATATGACACAAATTCACAGCAAATGTCATCTCAAGGAACTTTACCAAAAGATCATTTCAGTTTAATCACACAAACATTTCAATTGATTCCAGTTATGACAAAGTACGGTGAGTTCAGTTAATTATTATAAATAGTTTAAAAAGTTTAGAAGGAAACCCAGCATAATCAGCAGAATTTCAAAATGAAAAATAGAATGAAAGCAATGTCAAATATTTAGTTTTTAATCAAAATCTAATTATTTTTGTGATATATCAATCGATACGGTCACCCCCATGATAACTGGAAAAAAAACCAATGTAGATCCAAAAAAATCATTAAAAACAGAGACTTTAAAAAAGATAAAAAGATAAAAAATAAAATCATTTAGATCCATCATTCTTTTGATTAGTTTTCACTTAAATACCTTTAGAAATGTGACATCAGAAAATTTTCATTATTTCAACTTAAAATATTTGAAATCTTTTCTTAACACCGTGGTTCCCAGACTGTGGGGCGCAGCCCCTGTGGGGGACACAGTGCCATTGCAGGGGGGTGCAGGAAGCGGTATGAATGAATAATAAAAAAAAACAGTTACAGTAAAGTGTTTCACTGTAAAAATGGTTTGTAGAGTGTTTTGTTGCAACTCTTGCTATTTCTGAACTACTGCCTTTCAGAAAGGCATCATAACATCGTCCCACTATAAAACCTTCAACAACATTTTTACCAGTGTTGTACCAAGAAGTAGCTCATATGAGCTCAACAGGTTTCCGGTTCCACTAGGCGTTTGCTAACAGCTGCTGGCTAGTCTGAAGGAGCCAAGTGGGAAGTAGTAGGAGAGGGGTGCTCTTTTACGTAATACTGCCCCTTTAAAATGTGATCCAGTTGTAATTTCAGAATAAAAGGTACATTACAGAGCAACTTGGCACTTCAGTTCCACATTATGCCATCTCACCAGAGTGGGTTCTCATGTGAACAGGTAAACTCTTTCTATAGGCGAAACATTTTCCACAGATCTCACATGAGAAAGGCTTCTCACCTGTATGAATTTTTATATGAGACTTTAAAGCCCCTTTTTCCCTAAAACTCTTTCCACATGTCACACATAAGAAAGGCCTCTCACCTGTATGAGTTCTCATGTGAATAGTTAAACAATTTCTTGCACTAAAACTCTTTCCACAAGTCACACATAAGAAAGGCTTCTCACCGGTGTGAGTCCTCATGTGAATAGTTAAAGAACTTCTGACCCTAAAACTTTTTCCACATGTCGTACATGAAAAAGGCTTCTCACCTGTGTGACTTCTCATGTGAAAAGTTAAATTGGTTTTATTGGTAAAATTTTTTTCACAGCACTTGCATGAGAATGGTTTCTCACCTGTGTGGATCCTCATGTGAGAGTTTAAACCATCTTTTGTAGAAAAACATTTTCCACAGGTCCCACATGTGAAAGGCTTCTCACCTGTGTGTGTTCTCATGTGAATAGTTAAACAACTTTTTATAGTAAAACCTTTTCCACAGATCCTACATGGGAAAAGCTTCTCGCCTGTGTGATCTGTCATATGAATAGCCAAATGACTTTTTTGAATGAAATGTTTTCCACAAGTACAACATGTGAAAGGTTTCTCACCAGTGTGAGTCTTCACGTGATAGTTAAAATGAGATCTGCTCTTTAAGCTTTTTCCACAGGTCCCACATGAGTAAGGCTTTTCATCAGTATGAGTTCTCATGTGAGAAGCTAAACAACTTTTACTAGTGAATGTTTTTTCACAGCTCTTGCATGAGAAAGGCTTCTCACCTTTGTGAATTCTCTGGTGGCATGTTAAACCATCTTTTGTGAAGAAATGTTTTCGGCAAGTCCCACATGAGAAAGGTTTTTCGCCTGTGTGACTTCTCATGTGAGAAATCAAACCCCTTTTTTCCCTAAATTGTTTTCCACATGTCACACAGGTGAAAGGCTTTTCACCTGTGTGACTTTTCATATGACTACCTAAATGACCTATTTGAGTGAAACTTTTTCCACAAGTCAAACATGTGAAAGGCTTTTCACCAGTGTGAATTCTCATGTGAGAAATTAAATGAGCTTTGTTTTTGAATTTCTTTCCACAGGTCTCACAAGAGAAAGGTTTCTTGCCTGTGTGAATCCTCATGTGAGTAGTTAAATTACTTTTTTGGTTAAACGATTTTTGACAGTTTGGACATGGGAAAGTCTTCTGAGGTTTGTGAACTCTCATATGATTACTTAAATTACTTTTGTTCCTGAAACTTCTTCCACAAACAACACAGGAGGAAAGTGTCTTTCCCTTATGAGTTGTAAAGTCAAGATCTAAACTTTTTGAGGTTTTACATGAATAAGACTTCTTCCCTGAGTGACTTCTCATGTGTTTAGTCAGGTTATTGTTAACGGAAAAAGTCTTATCACAAATTTTACAGGCAAATAAATTTTGGTCTTGGTCACTTTTCTTTAACATTTTTTGGTTCCTGTTTGGTTCTGTTTTATTGCTGTTTCTTTGCACATTGGAAGGAGTCACCAAAATGTCTCCAGTCTCCTGTTTCAGCACAAGCTGCTCTTCATCCTGACTGGAGAAGGGTTGATTCTCTTCCACTTTGAACAGTTTTATCTGCAGATGCTCTGGTTCTTCTTGCTCATGTTTTATCTCCAGATGCTCTGGTTCTTCTTGCTCATGTTTTATCTCCAGATGTTCTAATTCTTCTTGCTCATGTTTTATTTCCAGATGCTCTGGTTCTTCTTGTTCTTTTTTTATCACCAAGGGTTCTATTTCTCTTGATGTAAAGTGGAGTCCCCATCCTGGTTGTTGAGCTCAGTGAAAACCTCCTCCTTTTTACTTACACAACATTGTGGAAGATCTGGACCAACAGACAAAAAGAAGCTTTGAAATTTAAGTTAAAAAGTTAATAACGAGGGACATCTAAATAGGCTTTATTTGGTATAAAAATTAGCTTGATATTTTTCTGATCAAAAGGTAAGTAGATGTGTAAATAGTATGTATATTTAATATAAATAAAGGAACATTTATGCAACTTTTTTGATGAAAAGACCATGCTGTTAATAGAAAATAAACAACAATGCAAACAGTCACATGTTGAAAATCCTGCGTAATTATGCGTAATTAGCATAAACATTAGCTGACACGTTGCAGGAAGAATCTAAAGTTTCCATCTCTGACTCAATCTACTCAAGTAAAAGTTAGAAATACAGTGCAGTGAAACTACATATAAGCATCCTTTTTTACAAAACGTTACTCAACCTCCCACCAGTTAATTAGTTAACATTCTTGTTAACAAGCTTAACATAATACTGGCATGGATTTACTAGTCATCATTTAGCTGACATCATCTTCAAATCTTAACAATACTCAACTCACACGGCTTGTTTGGAAAAATTGTGCAAAGTTCTTTGTTATATGCTGGCTTGTAACGGCTGAAAAACGTGCAGGGGTCAAACAGGACAGAGACAGAAAGTCTAGGAGCTCCTACTGTATCAAATCGATCAATTTTTCAAATCGATACAATAATACAATTTTGGCCACTCCGAGGCAAAAACAAGCAAAATCGGTGGGCAGGCAAATCATGCCAATGCCAATGTCGTCAGAGGTGGTGTTCAATGAGAGCTTTTACTTAGATTGGTTCATTAAAGCTGTAACTTTTACAAAAGTATATTTTTCCATATTTGTTAAAGCTGTCACCATATCGTGACAATATATGAGACAAATACTCTCATTCTCCTCCTCCTTATTATTGGCATTTGAAGGCGATAATAGCCGTTTCTGGTACCTACTGGTCAGAAACAACCAATCACACCCATTTATCCGCCATCATCAGTAACCATGCTAACTAGCCTTAGCATTTGTGGCAGGCTCCATTGCAGTGAACAAACAGTATTGAATCAGAGAGCGAGTGGGTGTGCACAAGATTGATTGACAGCGCTAAGACCCTTCTCCTGATTCTGATTGTGTGTTTCTGACTGAACTGTGCATTTTTGTAGTTAGTACTGGGAGCACTGGGAGAAGGCAGAGGAGGTCTATTTAAATAAAACAAACTTGTCTTAGAAACTTTATTTTCTTTCTACAAAAGAACGAAAATAATGTTTTTCTTTTCTAAAAGTTCCGTACTGCAAATTTAAGTGCTGATATTTTTCATCTCCCAGAGTGCTGTGCGGCCCGTCAACGTTTTATCGGAAGTAGTTTTGATTCATTCTGATCACGTGTCTATTGTGGTTCATGTTCGTATGGGTTTGTCCTTTACAGATACAGCTGATTTGTCATTTACTTTACTATTTACTTTGTTGTACTTTAAATAGGTTGCCGAGTTTACTGTCGTCCCAAACAACTTCATTTAATTTTTCTCCAACTGACTTTAGCTCCACCCTTTAACCTCTCTCATCAGTAAAACGTGAGGGTGTTTCGTACCTATTCGGTGTAAGATTATCCGAGGTAATCGGGAAAAATCCAGCAGTCTGCGCTCATTATCCATCTCTTCCTCGGACTTGACGATAATTTCTTTAAACTCCGTTTCTTCAGCAGCAGTTAACTGATCCTTAATCCATTTTCTCTGAGGCTGAACTGAAGACATTGTTGCTGCAAACACTCAAATATAAATCAAACCTACAAGCTCGTCTTCAAACTGCCTTCTAACAAAGGTTATGCTAACACTGCTAGCTGTGCTCTGTTTTATCTCCGGTGCGTTTCTCTGTAGCTCCCCTGAGGAAACTGGTAAAGATATTTAGTTCCGCTTTGAATTTTCCAAATCCTGAGAATTTGAAAGAAAATAAAAAACAAACATTAATTTTGTTTTATTTTACTGTCTGAATTCTCAGAGTGAAACACGCTTTGTAAATTTTTCCCTGTCTGATGTTTCAAACTTTTGAATAATTAATTTGGTAATTTTCAACTTAAAGCTAATGAAAATGCAACATTTAAGTTAAAAAAAAACTTTCTAAAGTTTATTTTCAGAAGGTACTTTATATTTCACTACAAGCATCATTAGAATGTATTTTCTAGTTTTGTATTTATCTTATTACTTTTGAAATTGTAACAATTGTTCATAATAGCACCATTACCATTAATTCTCCAGAACTGGATGACAAACTTTACATATAAACCAGATTATCACTCTTTGTTGAAGTGGCCTTTGTCCATTTTATTTATACATACTATTTGTATTTGTTTTAAAACTACAATCTGATGTGTCGATATGAAAAAATGCTAAGTCCTGTTGTCCAAGCTTAAACATCTAAACAAATTAAATAAATTAGATATTTTAATTAAACTGAAAGAAATTCAGATGCTAAAACTTTTTCTAAAAAACTAAATAATTTGGTACAAATAATCAAGTGGAGTTAAATAAATAGATTTTGGAAAAACGTAATTTGATTGTGACAAATTCATCTTTTTTTAACGTTATACTTCCTTTCTCTTTTCAGGTATAGGTACCTTTATTAGATTGAAATTAATTCTGAAAATCTTTAAGCTGTCTTCTCTTCATCAAGCGCACTTTTTTTCATTAAAATATATATTTTTAAATTATTGGCCTGGTGTAATATTTTCATCTTAAACCTAGTGTTTTCATTAGCTGAACTAAAAATAAATAAATGGTGGAAAACTACACAATGTGTAATTAATCTGCGTTTTATTTAGTGAATTGTGCTCTTTAAATAAATAAACTCTGCAACAATATTCTAAATATATTCAGAATATAAATGTAATGTAATGTAAAGAAAGCGTTTCAGTGGGAACCATAAAATTGAAAGCGGAACTTAACATCTTTCATTGTTTTGTCAGTGGAGCCACAGTGGAACACACGGGAAATAAAGACGGAGCACAAATAGCAGCGTTAGCTTTTCCTTTGTTAGAAAGTGTTTTGAAGGCGGATTCGGCGTTTTAGGTAAATACATGTGTGTTTTCTATAAAAGAATATCTCCAATCCATCTTCAATGCCAGCTTATCAACGAGTGTTTAACTCCTGTTGAAAAATCGTTTCCAGAGTTTAAAGAAATCGTCGCCAGGTCGAAGGAAGAGATGGACGATCAGCGCAGGCTGCTGGTTTTCACTCGGACTCCCCAGATCATCTTATGCCAAATAGGTAGGTTACACCCTCGCGTTTTAGCAAACAGAATAACGGCTGTAAAAATTAAATACTCGAAAAGATCAACCGTCAAATGAAGCTGAAGTTGGTGTCCGATTGCAGTTTCCGATTGGGAAAATGGCTAAAAACTAGATAATATCTAATGAGCTCAAGTAAAAAAAAAATAAATAAAATACACAAATATCAGAATATTTAAAGCCACGTCTGTAAAATTTATTGATCCTATTGATCAACTAATGTTCAAAGAAGCAGCCATCTTCTGAAAAACTGGCTTATCAGTTACACCAAGAGACTCGAAGGTCTTGAGGGGCCATTTTTATATTATGCTGAATTGAAAACAAAAAAAGCACATAATTATGTTTGAACTATCTCTTGCATCAGATGTATTAAACTCATAGATTTGCAGAGCTAGTAGCTTACCACTGGTGCACTTTATTTCTGACCAGTGGTTTTGGTAAATCTTGAAACCAGTCAGTGGCCCATGCACTTTATCAATTCACAATATCAAAAGATTTCCAGAAAGACATGATAATTTCAATTCAATTATCCAGTTGGAACCAGAAGTTTATATATTTTTTTCATACCAAATAAAAATATATTTATTTTACTTTCTAAAATTAAATAAGGCCAAGCTTCTCGTCTTAGTTTTGCTAGAATTACCTAAATTATTTATATTTGCTAAATGCCAGAAAATTTTGCAAGAACCTATTTTAAAGATTTTTTTTATAACTTTCTTTGAGGGAATAAGTTTACATATGTTTGGTCAGGGATAACTGTCTTTTAAGCTGTTTGATTTGGGTCAAATCATTTGGGTTTCCTTTGACCAACGTCTAATAGGTTAGCTGACACATTTGAGTTAACTGGAGGGACATCCGTAAATGTTTTTAATGCCAGAATTGAAACACACTGCTTTCTTGTGTGACATGAAATCAGCCAAGACATCTGGAAGAGCTGCGCAAATCTCGTTCATCCTTGTGAACAATTTACAGATGCTTGAAAGCACCAAACAAGTAGATGATGGGAATGTCCAACCGTCATACCTACCAGGAAGGAGATGGGTTCTGTATCCCAGAAATGAAAGTGTTTTGGTCCAAAACGTCCAGATTGATCCAAGAACAAAATACATAAACATAAGATGTTGACTGAACAGTGTAATTATCTTCAGTAAAACCTGTTCTGCACCCAAATGGGCTAAACGCCACTCAATACTGAGGAAGCCATTACTCCAAAGAAAACAGAAAATCCAGATTCAAGTTTGTAAATGCACACAGGGTCAAAGATCGTCATGTTTGGAGACATGTCCTGTGGCTCACTGAAGCTACAGCGGAATCATTTTTGGCCCTTTATGATCATTGTTACATTTGGAGGGAAAAGTGTGATGGTTGTGCCACCCTAACTGTGAAGTATGGTGGTGGCAGCATCATGTTGTGGGATTGTTTTGCTGCAGGAGAAAAGAGGGCCTGACAGTTTACTTTATTTGACCTAACTGTCTAAATATAGTTTCTGTGCAAATTTTGATATTTTGTGTAAATTTGTTTAGTTCTGTGTTATTTTGGTTAAAACCGTCTCGGCCTCCTTCAGGCAGCTGAATGTTTCTAAAGTTTAAAGGACAGTATTATATAATTATATTTTTAGCTTTATGTCATGTTTTAATGTTATTTTTTGCATGTTTGAGAAATCCTTCAATCTCCATGGCAACCACTTTGCCCTTTTAAAAGTTTAAATTGTCTTTTTTTAACTGATGCAGTAAAATCAGCAGTTATTTTACTTTTCTGTTGTCTGCTGCTTTTGGATCACAGCATGATCCTTTTGACCCATCTGGAGTCATCTGTTGGTATTCACTATATTTTCTGGACCATAAGGCGTACCGGATTATAAGGTGAAAGCTAAAACATACTATCTACAAAAAAAGGTCACTGAAGCAAAACAGTGAGTTTAGTTTAACTTTATTCCACTATGTGTCAATACACTCACATTATTTTTTTTTTATCGTTCTTCTTCCACAAATCCATCAAAGCCCTCATCTTCTGTGTCTGACCCGTTTTGTCATCAGACATGCTAGTTTCCCTCTCATCATTGTCGGAGTCTCGTTGCTAGTTGGCCGTTCAGCTTTGGCGAAAGCTTGGACAACAGTTAAAGCAGGTACCTTAGTACCAGAATCCACAGTCCAGTCACATACAGTGGCGTAACTCGCTAAGTGCTGCGTCCCTTGTCTTAGTAAACGTGTGTTCGCCGCCCGTCATCCATCGCTCCCACGCAGCTTGCAATTTCACTTTGAAAGCCCTACCCATGTCCAGCAGTAGTTACCGTAAGCATGTCTCTTCACGGCGCCTCAGAAAAACAAATGTTGATTCCAGTATACCAGTGGTATTCCTTCCGGAGGTGTGGCAGAAGTGTATGTATTACGTAATGTCCTCTGATTGGTGTATTGCTGCTAGATTATGTACCGTATTGTACTCATACCTATGTCAGGTATGTGACTTATGATTTGTCCCTGACACAGAGACGTATTAGGGACAGATTATAAGGTGAATTATAAGGCGATTTTTGAGAAAATTCAAGCCTCTGATGTGTGCTTTAGAGTGGGAAAATATGGTAAATTGGTTCCTGTCCCATCTTTCAAATTTGAGTTGTCTGTGAATCTAGGACAGCATTCCTATTCTGTTTCTTCTCTGAAGTACGGGTTCCCTGGATGGCAATATTTGCCTCTTCTCTTTTGCCTTTAGTTGCTGCCTCTGGGTTGTATTTTTAAAAAGCACCAAGTCTCTGCAGACAACGTTGAAATCTATCTACCTGTGACTACTAATGACAGCCAGTCTGATTCAGGTCGTCTTCAAGATGTACAGGCATGGCTAAGAACAATTTTTTTTGTAAATGCAATCCTCTGCTTGGCCATGACAGTGCTGTTTGGCCCCCTGACCTCCATTGTCATCCATTTATGAAAAAATCTGAGTGTGATTGTTGATCCTCTGTTTAAATTTGATAACCATATTAGCACGGTTATTCTTTTAGCAGAGGAAACTTGCTAAGATAACATTTTATCTTCCTCTGCCTGATTTTGAGAAGGTTATCATTCTATCTGTTGAGCTTTCTCAGTCAGTTGGTCAGTTTAATTTTGGATAAAAACCACGTCTATCTCTCTGGCCTTCAAAACTAGTTCAAAATAAGGGAGAATATTAGTACTTCACTGATTTAATTTTTTTAAAATTTTTGTAAACTGTTTTAGCTGTCTTGGTTTTTATTAGCTTTTGGTATTTTCTGTGAATTTTATTTATTTTATTTTATTTTTTTAAACAAACTTTATTTTTATGTTTTGTTTTATAATTGGTTTATGTTTTTGTTTTTTTAAAGCGCTTTGGAGAGCTGAGACTTTTGTAAATGTGCTATAAAGATAAATTCTGACTTTGCTGGAATTTTCAAATTTGTCAGTGGTTATACTGACACATTGAAAGTGTGTTAGCTGTTTTTTTTAATGTTGCTGTCTTTAAATTATAGTTTTACACCTCTTTCATGGGAAATAGTGCTTCACATGTATTTTTTTTTTCATTTAAAAAAATGTCTTTCATATTATAGAAGAACCTATTCATACATGAGAAATCTTAGCTTTTAGGAAAATGGTTGCTTATTAATTAATCTTTAGTTGGTTGAAAGGATTGATCAACTCATTCTTCAATAACTTGATTCTAATAAGTAAAATTGAAAGGTGTTTTCTTTTACTCACATTTATAAGCTTTTATTTTGTGTTTTTGTCCAGATCTCTCACGATGCATTGTAGTTAAAGAAGGAGGAGGTTCCCGTTGAGCTCAATAACCAGGATGAGAATTCCACTTTAGATCGAGAGAACCAGAACCTCTGGGGATAAAACAGGAGCAAGAGGAACCGGAACATCAACATTTAAAGAAAACCAACTCTGCATCAGTCAGGATGAAGAGCAGCTTGTGCAAAACAGGACTGATTCTCCTGAAGTTGAGAATCGGGATCAAGAAGAAATTGATTCTGAAAATCAAGGAAAAATAGAGATGATCAGAAAGAACATGAGAGACGTCAGAAACCAAAACAGCAGGGACTCTCCCAGGCCACAGTTTGTATTCCTGTGAAATTTGTGATAAAATCTTTTCTGGAGAAAAGGGTTTTACAATACACATGAGAAATCACATGCGTGAGAAAACATATGGATGTACAACCTGTGGAAAACGTTACTATAGCAGAAGTGGTTTAAATCTGCACATGAGAGCCCACACTGGGGAAAAACCGTTCACATGTGCAACCTGTGGAAAAAGCTATGGTAGCAGGGTTTCTTTACATTTTCATATGAGAACTCACACAGGGGAAAGGGTTCAAATGTGTTTGTTTGTGGAAAGATTTCCGTCAAAGTTCAGCTTTACATACTCACATGAGAACTCACTCAGATCGAAGCCTTATTCATGCACAACCTGTGGAAAAAGGTTTTCTAATAAAGCGTGTTAAATTCTCACCTTATAATTCATACAGGTGAGAAACGTTACTCATGTATTGCTTGTGGAAACGTTTTAGTCAGAAAGTCAGTTACGGTATCACATGATGACTCACACAGGTGAGAAACCCGTTTCATGCATGACCTGTGGAAAAACTTTCACTCATAAAGGTAATTTATCTGAGCACATCAAACTCACACAGGTGAGAAGCCTTTTTCATGTTCTACTTGTGGGAAATGTTTCAGTCACAAAAGCCTTTTAAGAAATCACATGAGAAGACACACAGGTGAGAGGCCTTTTTCATGTACCACCTGTGGAAAGACTTACAGTGAGAGAAGTGGTTTAGCTTATCATGTCAAAACTCACACAGCTGAGAGACCTTTCTCCTGTGTGACCTGTAAGGCAAGTTTCCGAAAACAATCCTTTTTAACACATCACATGAAAACTCACACAATTGAGAAGACGTTCTCATGTGTGACCTGTGGAAAAACTTTCACTGAGAAATGTGAATTGGCTATTCACAAGAAAACTCATAGGGATGAAGGGCCTTTCTTATGTGCAATATGTGGTAAAAGTTTCCGTGGAAGAAGTAGTTTAAATTACCACATGAAAAATCATGCAGAGGAAAAGCCTTTCTCATGTGTGACCTGTGGAAAAGGGTTTCTTAGAAAGTCTCATTTAATATGTCACATGAGGAGTCACACAGGGGAGAAGCCTTTCTCATGCATGACATGTGGAAAAAGTTTCTCTGTGAAATGTAACTTAACTTTTCACATGAAGACTCATACAAATGAGAAGCCATTTCTCATGTTCAACTTGTGGTAAAGGTTATCATAATAAAAGTAGTTTCAATTACCATATGAGAATCACACAGAGGAAAAGCCATTTCTGTGTGTGACCTGTGGAAAAAGATTTGTTCATAATTCTCATTTAATTTTGCACATAAGAAGTCACACTGGGGAGAAACCTTTCACATGCACAATATGTGAGAAAAGCTATGCCATAAAAAGGGTTAACTGTTCACATGAAAACTCATACAGGCTAGGAGCCTTTTCTGCTGCTGTTCTGTTGAGAAGCTTTTGAGCAGAAATGTCCTTTACTACATCACACAAATGTGAGACAAAGTGATGCGAACTTGAATTATCAAGGTAGGAAATGTTTGTTTAGAAAAGAGTAATTTCATGAAGACTGAATGAATCACATGTAATGTCTTCAAATAATAAGTTTAGCTGAAATACTTTATAAAATTAATAATTTTTTGGACTTTCACTTTAACATTTAAATTTTTTTTTTCAGTGAGATCATCAGTGTCTTCAGAAAATTGTTTTGAATGTATTTTTTTAAAGAACAATGGGTTTCAGTTCTTTTGCAGTGGATTTTTTTTACTTTGACTTTTGTTACAATAGTATATGTGAAATAGAATCACTCAGCTATGTGCATATGTAGATACAAATGTGTGAAAATAAGTAAAGACAAAAAGTTTTGTTCTTTTGCTGTACTTTGTATTTTTCTTTAAATATTTTTGTTACTGGATACATGTTCAAATGTGCAGACTAGTAGGCTGCATGATTTACCTTTACTTGGATTAATATTTTCTAAAATTGAATCTAGATAACATAAATGCATTTACAACTGAATTGACTGGACTGAATATGAAATCACTTATGTTTTGTATTTTAGTAATTTTGTAGAAAATAGTTTTCTTTGATATTCAATTGCTTTCTTTTTTTGAACGAAAAGCCTAATTTAGTCATGATTTTGTAAGGCAATAAAGAGTAAAACATCCAAGGCGGTGAAATTCTTTTTGTAGGAAATTATGGACCACAAATGATTTGCATGTACATACTTCTCGTATGCATTACAAAGCCTGGCAGTTTGTCATGAACCTCCATGTCACATCTACATAATAAAGTAAATCACTGAATATTAAAATTCTCACCCACCACGGGTGGTTCTTATCCTCTGAGCTCGGGTCCTCTACCAGAGGCCTGGGAGCTAGAGGGTCCTGTGCAGTGTCTTGGCTGTGCCTTGGACTGCACATTTCTGGACTGAGATGTCTCAATGCAAAGGGTGTTTTGAAAGCCATATCTGTTGCGATTTTTTGGGTCTACCTTAAGATACATAATTTTCATGCAGTCCAGAAGCATTCACTAAAATTGCTCAGTGTTCAGATGTGAAATGTTAAGGCATCAAAAAAGCCAATTCATTTGACAGAAGGAAAATAAGAAGAAACAGTACGATTAAATTAGACCTTTGGAGCGCCTCGCTGCAAACAGGCCTTTGCAGCCTGTTTGCAAAGAGTTATTTTTTTCTGATTTTGTTTCACTGGATAATAAAAGTTAAGACACTAAAGATAAAGAAACTGAGTTGAGCATTATGTGGAGAAGAATTCTGTCTTTTCTTTGTCTCATCAAATAACATTTAAAACTGATCATTTTTTCTTTTCTGAGATCTCTGGTACAACGTAATATATTTTGACAAATATCCTAGCAGTCAGAGGGAAATTTTTTCGTTTTCAATCAAAATAAAGCCTATTCAGATGCACCAATAGATTAAAGTGAAATGTTCACAAAAAGAGTAAGTCCACTTGAGAAAGGAGAAACCAGAGCCTTTTAAAATAAAACTGGACTTAGAGGAACCAGAGAGACAAAGAGCAGAAATAAAACAAGATAGCAAAAAAAGAACTACTGAAGGTTCAAAACAAAATAAGCCCCAAAAAACGCACCTTGACCAAAATGTGTATTCCTGTAAAATTTGTGATAAAATCTTTTTCTAAAACGAGTCCTTGACAAACCACACAAGGACTCATATAGGTGAGAATCATTTCACCTGTATAATTGATGGGGGGAAAAATGGAAATAAAAGGTTTAAATTGTCACACGAGGATTCACAAAGATGAGAAAACTTTCTCATGTTTTACTTTTTGTTTTGACAGCGCCTCACATTAAGACTGCAGGAGGATTAAAAACATCATTTTTACTCATACAGTCTGCTTCACATTGAGAGGGAATTAAGAAATTCAAAGCGGAACTAAAAATAAGTTTCGTGTTTCTTCAGTGGAGCCTCCGTGAAACACCCAAGAAATGAAAACAAAGCACAGTTAGTTGCTAGCCTTTCTTCAGTTAAATTGTTTGGGTTTGGTGTATTTTAGCAAATATTTGAGTGTTTGTAGTAACTCTGTCTCCACTTTAGTCCCAGAGAGAGTTAATAAGCGAGCAGTTAACTCCTGCTGAAGAAACTTTGACAGAGTTTGATGAAATCATCGTCCAGTCGGAGGAAGAGATGGATGATCAGCGCAGACTGCTTGATTTCTCCCGGACTCCCCAGATCATCTTACACCGAATAGGTAGGAAACAGCAGCGTTTGGATGCAGGTTAAGGTCTAAATGTCTGCACCTTTCTGCATGAGGATCATTTTAGTAAACGCTCTTTTCCCGGATAAATGTTTTGTTAGCAGGTAAATGAACGCAGACATCACAATGAGAATGGCTGATTTATGGAGAGAAAATGAACTTTTTATGGCTCTTCCTCCTTTAACTACTGAGTCTTTCTTTTGAAAACGGGAGAAATGTGAACAATGCAGCGCGAGGTTAGTAAAGAAAGCAGCATAAACTAATAATAGCGGTGTTAGAAGCTGTAAAATGTAATAATTTGTAATAAATAAATTGTTGTGGATTGTTTGCTTCATACGTACATAAAAGAAGTTCAATGTCCAAAAAACTTGAAGATTGTTTTTATAGTTTATTTTTCTAGTTTAAGAAGCAAATAATAAAAATAAACTTTTCATTAGTGATGTGTCGAGTAATCCAGGAGGATTTTAATGAAGCACATAAAACAGAGAATTCACCTAAACCAGAATACAGTTAAAGTTTTTATTTTTAGTAATAAATCGTTGCTCCTGGTGAAACAGCGAATAACAAGCCAATCACAACTCTCTGTTTTCTATTTGTTTCTAGTTTCCTTTTTGATGCTGCCATTGTTTCATACAAACAGATTAATCAGAATCACAAACATCTTTTACTTGTTTACTCATTGTAAGGCTTCGTGTTGTTTTCACGTTGCCTATTTTACATATATTGTCCACTTGATGTCACAGTGGAGCATATGAAGCACCGCGGTGCATCGGCTCATGAGTCCATGATGGGAGTTCCTCAGAGCTTCATGAAGCTTCATCTCACCATCACTACTTTTCATTGTTTCGTCTCCTGCTCTGGTCAAAACCCACAAGCCCAACCAGTGCATGCTGGTCCTTTACCCGTCCCTATACTTACAGGAAATCGACCCACAGTTCTTCCTGTCTAACTTAGAAAAGCAAATAATAAAGGAACAAAACCTAAACAACTATTAACCTACAAATAAACTCATGTTTATAACTCAACCCCAAAGATCTAAAGTGTACGAAAATTAGATTTAAATTACATTTAACTATTATTCAAAGTAATAAAAAAATAATATATTTAAATAATACAGTTTACTATAAATACTAACAACAATCCCTACAATGTTTAATTTTGTAATAAATCAAATGATTTTTTTCCTCTCCTACTCTGGTCAAAACCCACAGGCCCAACCAGTGCATGCTTGTCCTATACCAGTCCCTATACTTACAGAAAACGGACCCACAGTTCTTCCTGTCTAACTTAGAAAAGAAAATGACAAAGGAACTGTCTTAAATGATGAATGATTTCTCCTTTTTAATTCAGTAAAGTTAACAATTTCTCTTTTCTCTGTTTGCTTATCCAGATTCCCTGAAGTGTAACGTTTATAACCAGGAGAGGAGATCCACTCTGGACCAGGAGGAGTTAGAACCTCTGCAGGTGAAACAAGAACAGGAAGAGCCAGAAGATCATCAGATAAAAGAAGAACAGAAGGATCTAGAACACCTGCAGATAAAAGAGGAAGAGAAAGAAGTTTACTGCAGTCAGAGGGAAGAACAGATTGAATTAAAACAGGAGACTGATACCTGCATGGTGGTTCCTGTTGATGAGCAAACATACCAAACTGAGTCAGAACCAAACAGAAACCAAGACATCTTCCAAGAGCCTGATGAAACTGAGAACAAAAATCAGGAAAGAAGAAAATTTTTATGTGTGACCTGTGGAAAAAATTTTAGTGTAAAATGGCACTTAACTCGGCACATGATGATTCACACTGATGAAAAGCCATTTTCATGCGTGAACTGTGGAAAAAGTTTTCGTAAAAAACTAAATTTAACTCGGCACATGATGATTCACACTGGTGAAAAGCCGTTTTCATGTGTGAACTGTGGAAAAGGTTTTATTCAAAAACCGGCATTAACTCAGCACATGAGGATTCACACTGGTGAAAAGCCATTTTCATGTGGTAACTGTGGGAAAAGTTTTAGTCATAAACTGTGTTTAACTCAGCACATGAGGATTCACACTGGTGAAAAGCCTTTTTCATGTGGGAACTGTGGAAAAAGTTTTCGTAAAAAACTAAATTTAACTCAGCACATGATGATTCACACTGGTGAAAAGCCATTTTCATGTGTGAACTGTGGAAAAAGTTTTCGTCAAAAACAAGATTTAACTCAGCACATGAAGATTCACACTGGTGAAAAGCCGTTTTCATGTGTGAACTGTGGAAAAAGTTTTGGTAAAAAACAAAATTTAACTCATCACATGATGATTCACACTGGTGAAAAACCGTTTTTATGTGTGAACTGTGGAAAAAGTTTTAGTCAAAAACGGGCATTAACTCATCACATGATGATTCACACTGGTGAAAAGCCGTTTTTATGCGTGAACTGTGGAAAAAGTTTTAGTCAAAAACAGAGTTTAACTCAGCACATGATGATTCACACTGGTGAAAAGCCTTTTTCATGTGGAATCTGTGGAAAAAGTTTTAGTCAAAAACAAACTTTAATTTATCACGTGTTGATTCACACTGGTGAAAAGCCGTTTTCATGTGTGAACTGTGGAAAAAGTTTTCGTCTAAAACAGCATTTAACTCGGCACATGAGGACTCACACAATTGAAAAGCCGTAGAAGTATTTTTCCATTTGTGTCTCATGTTGAGGTTCACTATTAAATGTATTTGGTTAAAAACTAAAATTAATGACTGGAGGGATTTCATGTCTATACATTTTGACATTTGGATATTTAGACATGTGAAACATTTTCCGTGAGAGATGTGGTTTTTTTTCTATTCTGCATCAAATATCATGACAAACTGTATTCTTATTCTATAAACAATTCAATAAATGACATGAATTCTTACAAATAAATTGGGTGATACATTGTATTACGTGACATTAAATGCTCTTGTGGTTACTGGGTATAAACTGATCTTCAGTTTGTTTGTCCTTGTTTCAATGCTCCTTTATCTGCAGCCAGTTGGAACAAACTGTGACCGGGTTGTGAGGAGTCTTTTAAAATGTTCTTAGAGAAAAGGCAGAGCAGCCAATAGTCCTCTGGGCAAATTTCATGATTCTCTGCAGAGTCTTCCTCTGTGCAAAAATTTGTCATTTTTCACTTTCATTCACATATAACTTTAACAAACTACTGTGGATTTCAACCTATAGGCTTCATTTTTGGCCAGGATGCAGTTAAGGGGTGGGGCTTTAAAAGTTATCAAACAAATTGAGTTTTTGTATATGTTCAGGTGGTGTGGTGAATTTGGTGTACTCACCAACACAAACAAAACGTTATGATGTTCACTTAAGTTCAATTGGCACAAAACTTGGCATGAATGATCCTGGTTGGATCCCTGACAATGTTGTCATAATCTGACGTCATCTGAGCCCCTCCCCCTCTAAACAGGAAGTTACTTTTTCTTGAAAAGTTCCTTGTCTTGACATAATCAGTGTGATCGTGTGTCTGATGACAGACAACAAGCTGGTCTCACTTTTCTGAAAGTGGCAATGGTGGCGCGGCGACGTGACGGTTTACGCTGCTGCCATACGTTTGGCTATAAATCCCACCTGTTTTAATCGAGCTGGACCAAATTCACTGATTGATCCTTGTCCAACCTCTGGCAGGAATGCGGTCCAATATTTGGTGGGTTTGGCCTAATTTTTACACAGCGTCCCCTAGAATCATATCAAAAATCAGCCCCAAGCCACGCTTTGGCCGACAATCATAAAATTCACCACACATGTACATCTTGGTGGGTGGTAAAAAAAATTGTTCACCAAAGCCTCAAATCTGACCATTTGCCATGAAACATCAAGGTGGAATAACATCCCCACATAAGCTCCCAGATGGATAAAGCTTCATTTGTGGCATCACAGACCAGAGCTCATCACATTCACATAATCAATTAGTGACATCACAACTCCTGCCCCATTCAACAGGAAGTAACATGTTTTCCTGCTCTTTCTCTTCCCTTTACTCGGCTGTTCATGCAGATTTCAACCTGTGTTTAAGCAAGTTGAACAACATGATGGTAAATCCTTCTCTCAACACCGGCTGGCGGCAGCATGTGGATGTGGCTGAATGGCGAATACTAATCCCTCACTGTTTCCATACCTTTGTTTCAAAATCATACATGCATCATTATATTTGCACTGATCTTGTTATGACTGACTTTTGTTAACCTCTGTAGAACCCAATGGCATTCAGTTGTAATGTCACTCCACTGCGCCACCTAGGATATTCCAACAGCTATTTCTCCTTTATATCTCACAGATTTGCAGCAGATTTTTTTGTGCATCATCATGGAGCACTGCTGAACACAACAGTGTATAACGGACAGGTGTGGGAACTGCGTGAGAAAGTTGATAGTGGCGAGCGAGTGGCTTTGATGGAGCTCACACAGACACAATAAGGACAGAGCGGCGTTGAGCTGCAACAGCCTCCAACGCTTTAATTTGTTTAATACTTGTTTTAAAAGTCTGTCGGCATGAATAACATGTCCCACGAGGCTGATTTGATTTTGTGCTACTGTTTTCTTAGTGGTTCATAGGAAATAGTAACATTTTTGCAACACGTAAGCTTTCAAATGGGCTCATCCGGGATTTAAACCCGGGACCTCTCGCACCCGAAGCGAGAATCATACCCCTAGACCAAGGAGCAGCTTCTCCCGGCTGTGATATTTCAAGTGGCCGCAGCACAGAGCTGATGCTGATAGACGAAGAGACATTGTGATCCATTGAGCCTGTGGTTGATCAGTTAAATACTATTGAGAGGGAAAAGAAGATTTTGGGCTTTTTAAAAAAGTACTGGGATCATTATGAGAATTTGAGACATTGACATGAGGATCCAATAGGTGGCAGTAGCACAAGAGCAATGGACGCATACCGCCGTTACAGTGAAAAGCAGAAGAAGAAGCAGAAGAAGAAGACAGAGAGGCACATGGTCTGTTTTGTTGAATGTTTCTCTAATAAATATCTCCAGTCCAGCTTAAACCAGTGAATCAGCGAGCAGTGAACTGCAGAAACATTGACAGAGTTTAAAGAAATCATCGTCCAGTCGGAGGAAGAGATGGAGGATCAGCGCAGACTGCTTGATTTCTCCTGGACTCCCCATATTGCCTATGTATTTACGGAGAACCAGAATACTAATATTGTATTTGTCTCATTTAAATCAAGTGGAAGAGAAGATTTTAGTGTTTTCAAAGATAACTATTACTTTATTAGAAATCATTAGATGTCATGCTCATACTATCCAGAAGGTGGCGGAATATAAATAAGTAAACATTAAAAAAGTTCCAAAGAAGAAGAAGCAGCAGACGAAGTAGAAGAAACAGAAGATGGCGCCTGGTCTGTTTCGTCGAATGTTGGAGTTTTAGTGAAAAAAGTTTCAAGAAACATTGACAGAGTTTAAAGAAGTCATCGTCCAGTCGGAGGAAGAGATGGATGATCAGCGCAGACTGCTTGATTTCTCCCGGACTCCCCAGATCATCTTACACCGAATAGGTAGGAAACAGCAGCGTTTGGATGCAGGTTAAGGTCTAAATGTCTGCACCTTTCTGCATGAGGATCATTTTAGTAAACGCTCTTTTCCCGGATAAATGTTTTGTTAGCAGGTAAATGAACGCAGACATCACAATGAGAATGGCTGATTTATGGAGAGAAAATGACCTTTTTATGGCTCTTCCTCCTTTAACTACTGAGTCTTTCTTTTGAAAACGGGAGAAATGTGAACAATGCAGCGCGAGGTTAGTTAAGAAAGCAGCATAAACTAATAATAGCGGTGTTAGAAGCTGTAAAATGTAATAATTTGTAATAAATAAATTGTCAAACCAAACATCCTATAAAAGTTCAATCAACAAGCTGCACTGAGGTGATGCTTCATACGTAGATAAAAGAAGTTCAATGTCCAAAAAACTTGAAGATTCCTTTTATAGTTTATTTTTCTAGTTTAACAAGCAAATAATAAAGATCAAACTTTTCATTAGTGATGTGTCGAGTAATTCAGGAGGATTTTAATGAAGCACATAAAACAGAGAATTCACCTAAACCAGAATACAGTTAAAGTTTTTATTTTTAGTAATAAATTGTTGCCCCTGGTGAAACAGCGAATAACAAGCCAATCACAACTCTCTGTTTTCTATTTGTTTCTAGTTTCCTTTTTGATGCAGCCATTGTTTCATACAAACAGATTAATCAGAATCACAAACATCTTTTACTTGTTTATTCATTGTAAGGCTTCGTGTTGTTTTCACGTTGCCTATTTTACATATATTGTCCACTTGATGTCACAGTGGAGCATATGAAGCACCGCGGTGCATCGGCTCATGAGTCCATGATGGGATGGAGTTCCTCAGAGCTTCATGAAGCTTCATCTTACCATCACTACTTTTCATTGTTTCCTCTCCTGCTCTGGTCAAAACCCACAAGCCCAACCAGTGCATGCTGGTCCTTTACCAGTCCCCATACTTACAGGAAATGGACCCACAGTTCTTCCTGTCTAACTTAGAAAAGCAAGTAACAAAGGAACTGTTTTAATGTTGAATGAATTCTCCTATTTAATTCAGTAAAGTTAACAATTACTCTTTTCTCTGTTTGCTTATCCAGATTCCCTGAAGTGTAACGTTTATAACCAGGAGAGGAGATCCACTCTGGACCAGGATGAGTTTGAACCTCTGCAGGTGAAACAAGAACAGGAAGAGCCAGAAGATCATCAGATAAAAGAAGAACAGAAGGATCTAGAACACCTGCAGATAAAAGAGGAAGAGAAAGACGTTTACTGCAGTCATAGTGAAGAACTGATTGAATTAAAACAGGAGACTGATACCTGCATGGTGGTTCCTGTTGATGAGCAAACATACCAAACTGAATCAGAACCAAATGGGAACCAAGACATCTTAAAAAAGCCTGCTGAAACTGAGAACCAAATCAGGAAAGAAGGAAACCTTTTTCATGTGTCATTTGTAAAAAGCATTTTACTTTCAAATCTGTGTTTGATGCTAACATGAGAACTCACACGGGTGAAAAGCCGTTTTCATGTGTGGACTGTGGGAAAAGTTTTAGTCATAAACTGTGTTTAACTCAGCACATGAGGATTCACACTGGTGAAAAGCCGTTTTCATGTGTGGACTGTGGGAAAAGTTTTAGTTATAAACTGTGTTTAACTCGGCACATGATGATTCACACTGGTGAAAAGCCGTTTTCATGTGTGGACTGTGGAAAAAGTTTTAGTCGTAAACAGAATTTATCTGAGCACATGAGGATTCACACTGGTGAAAAGCCGTTTTCATGTGTGGACTGTGGAAAAGTTTTAGTCAAAAAAGAGTTTAACTCGGCACATGATGATTCACACTGGTGAAAAGCCGTTTTCATGTGGGAACTGTGGAAAAAGTTTTAGTCGAAAACTTTGTTTAACTCGGCACATGAGGATTTACACTAATGAAAAACCTTTTTCATGTGTGAACTGTGGAAAACGTTTTAGTCATAAACATTGTTTAACTCTGCACATGAGAATTCACACCAATGAAAAACGTTTTTCATGTGTGAACTGTGGAAAAAGTTTTAGTGAAAAACAGAATTTAACTCGACACATAAGGATTCACACTGGTGAAAAGCCGTTTTCATGTGGAAACTGTGGAAAAAGTTTTAGTCAAAAAGAGCATTTAACTAAGCACATGAGGATTCACACTGGTGAAAAGCCGTAGAAGTATTTCCGATATAGGCCTGTCGCGATAAACGATAAATCAATTAATCACACAATAAATTAAAACTATCAACCTCATTTCAATTATCGTTCTATATCGTTTCTTCCTGTCTTTTTATCTTACTGTTGGTTCTCTTACACTG